TATACCTTCATCACCTGCATACGGAGTTTATCTATTTCAGTTGATTTGATGGATTTTCTCGTTATTTCCCGATCATGACAAAGGAGCACATGGCGGGTGTGACTGGTCGGCAGAGTATCCTCAATCCTCCATGACATCCGATCCCACCTCTGATGGTTTGGAAGTCCTTGTTTGCTCTGCTCCTACCGTATAAGTGGAAATTTTAGCGAGACGCAAATTTAGCGATTTGTCCTTAAAACCCGGTAATTTATTTTTAGCGAGATGTTAAATTAGCGATTTTAAAATGCAAATTCAAGAAACTATTACAAATAAGACGCAATTAATTTTTAGCGATATTCAATTTTAGCGATCTCGACACCCTCGCTAATAATGCCAAAATTAAATCCTCGCTAAAAATTCTACTTATACGGTATTTTGTATTGATTTATCGACTTTTGCTCTTGAATAGTGTTTGCTTTCTCCATATGTTTCACCTATAAAAGTCGATCCTATCATAAAACATGAATTCCGCTATGGACTAAGAGGATCAAATTATCGCTTTATCGACTGCATAACTTTATATATATATACTAGTACCTATTTCTTCTTATATGTCTCTTTGTCCTTTATTTGGTTTAAGTAATCTTAAAACAGTAGTCAAGAAACCAACATTAAAATTGCACTTGAAAATTGAAAGAACCAAGCCTTTAAATGCTATTTAATAATTTACAATAAGTCAAAAATCAAAACATAACAGATGAAAAAAAAAACTCCTCTAAGTGCTTTACTTTGATGACTGATGTTTGATATAACCGAGGAGTGAAAAATTAATGAACATCGTGATCGATTCTTACCAATGTATTTTGTTGATATACCGAAACCAATCCATTTCTTTACACTAAAAAAATACATGGAAACTTACAAATTCATACAGCTTCTATCGAAAATTGGACGAGTTTTGGACAGTTTTACTTGTGTATGTGAAAACTTCTTTGAATTTTCTTGAACAACCTAAGAGTGATCCTCAGCATTTTTTCCCCGAGAATCAAATTTTAATGACGCTTTAATCTGCTGGAGGTGGTAGCTGAGAACAATTTCAATATACAGGTAAAAGTGGCTGACTTTTGTCAATAATCTTCTCTTCTGCTTACCAGATAATATTATCAATTATTTATATTGAAAGTGTAATGCAGCTTCTTTGAATATGTCTTTTGTTAAATGACATGTTTTGTTTAGAAAATGTAAAAACCTAACAGACTAGGTTTTAACTACAAAATCACCTTCAATAAATTGTGGACTTGATGAAAAAAGGGTAAACAAACACATGATTGTTGGGAATTTTTTTCTTCAGATTAAAAGATTACTATTAGTATGTGAAAAATACTGTGAAACGATTTCAAAGACTATTGATGAAAACCTTTCACTTTTACATATTTCAAAATTAATCAAAATGGAAGAAAGATAAGCCTCCAAGCGTTTGTTTGTCTTACAATTTTGTTTTAAATTTACTTATATTACTTAATTTTAATTTTTAGATACTATCGTGGATTAAGATAAGATAAGATAATTCGAGGATAGAATGTAGGCGAGTTTTAATACTGCAATATTGGAATGAGGGGTTTTCTATCAGTCAGGAGGAAAATCAAAAAGATTCTCAAGGAAATGTTGAAACTGAAAACAATGTTTGAAAAGATTTCAAATAAGAGATCCTTTATTTCAAAGATATCTTTAAGAGAAACATCCCAATTGACAGGGAAAGAGTATTCTTTTTTGAATGTTTTATAACAAAGATAATGTTGGTAAGATATGAACTGGAAGAAGTTTGTCCTTGTAATTAGGAATGGATAAGAATGGGGATGAAATTGACAAAAATCAGCTTAAACACTAGTCATTATATTAAAAACAATTACACGACATACGTGTAATAACGATTAAAACGGTTTGTCATTTAGTCGATAAAAATAATAAGCTAAGTCACTTTCCACGCTTAAAATTGCTCTCCCAAAGGAGTGGCATTATTGCTCAAGTTTAAATTCATCTGAAATGATTTTTAAACTCAATCTTGCGTTTTAAATCATCAAGTATCATATATTCAGTCAGCAGGGATATTTATTTGTTAGTTTTTGTAACCTGACCAGACATAAAACTAATGGTCAAGTATTGATGAGAAGCATTTTGTTTTAAATCTAGATGCAATTTAAAGTCTCCCCTAACCCAAACCTTTTTAGGGGACAATGTTTCTTTCTAAAAAACAAAAGCATGCTGTGAAAAATTATGCCCTTAGCCTTCTAATATAGCTAGATAGGAATTGTCCCAAACTAATATCAGTTTTGGGTATCAGGAAAACAAACTTAAAATCAGCTAGATTTTGAATAGCGTCCGAGTTTTTAACATCTGAACAAAAATATTTATACTTGTTCAAAGTACCTCTTGATTCGCACAATTAATCCTGTATAATGAATATTTTATGTATGGATGTTTCAAAATTCGTTTGACATTACAAATGTTCAATACGTAAATCGAAAGTTTAAGAGAAGCATGTAGCAGAAAATATACGCATCTATACTTCACACTTTGATTTATTAATGAAAGCATAATCTGGATTTAGAGAATTTCACTCATGTCAGAGAGCTCTAACAAAACTAATTGATAATTGGCTGCATGCAATAGATCAAGGAAATTTCGTTGGCATTACTTATTTGGATTTTAGCAAAGCATTTGATCTTGTAAATCATGATATACTTATTAGTAAACTCAAATGCTACCACTTCGATCCAATATCAATTAAATGTTTTCAATCATATTTAAATGATCGAACTCAAAAATTGGTTTTGTACACATCTGAATCACTGCCCGTCACAGCAGGTGTGCCACAGGGCTCTATTTTAGGTCCCTTGTTATTTCTGTTACTGTATAGGGGGAAAATAACTCGCGGTGTTAATATTCGCTATATTCACGGTTATAATAAATCCGTGAATTCAAGAAACAGTGAATAATTTTTCAAAAATCTCAATGTTTTATTTTGAAATTTGAAAATACCGGTAGACTACGATAGGTTTAAATGCATGTACCATTGACAGTAAATGGTCATTTCACTAACTACGAGTAGTACTTGTCATTCAATTATTTTAATTAGCACATTTTACATTAATTCAAATCAACAGATAATAACCTGTATTTGTTAAAAGGCTTTTTAATAGCTAACGCTACATGTTTCATCAATTAAAACACGTGGGCCTTGAGTTTTGATTACCCGTGCGTAACTAATGTTACCACGCACAGTGTATTTGTTACCTGCATTATCATGCATATTATAGTTTTTATCGACATTTTGATTTTTAAAAATTGTCAAATAAATATTGAACTTATTGACGATGTGGAAGGATATTCTTTCGTCAACCTACATTAACACATTTATTACCGTCCAGTGGTTTTTCGCCGCGTTGTTTTGAAGATCTTGAAGTGTATACAGACAATTCATTTGACGTTTATTGTCAAGGACTTTTGATAATAGCACCTGTTTTAATTAATTGTCAATTATTTGATAAGTCTAACTATTCCATTTTAACTTACCCTGTTGTTGGTGAAATAAAGACATACCAATAAAAAATGTCGTTTACTACGTGTAGCTTTGCTATGGATTAAACGGATATAGACACGGGAGGTAACTTCTATGACATAAGAATTCCGCGAATTCAAGAAACCGCGATCGTGTCCGATGAGAGAAATCCGTGAAAATTACAACCCGTGAAATTAATCCCCTATACAGTATATATTAATCATTTACCATTATCTGTTGAACATTGTAATGTTGATATGTTTGCTGATGACACAACAATGCATTTTCATGGTAACAATATTTCAAATATTGAAGCAACTCTCAATCATGACCTGTATCAAATACAAACCAGGTGTCAACAGAATCAGATGATTTTGAATACTGATAAAACAAAGTGAATGTTAATGGGAACACACCAAAAGAAATCAAAATTAGAAAACGTTAATTTTATCTACAACTTTCTGACCATCCCCTTGAAAATGTTAGAACAAAGAAATTATTAGGTATTCATATTGATCATACTCTTCAATATACTTGTCATGTAGATGCGTTTGCAAAACCCTTACTTATAAATTATTTACTTTACGGAAAATTAAAAAGTTTCTACCATTGCATACGAGAAAGTTATTTTATAATGCATTTATTTTGCCATCAATTTTATATTGCCTTTCTATTTGGGGTAACTCTCCTCAAACTCACATCGATAGAATATACAAACTTCAGAAACGAGCAGATAGGATTATTTTAAATGAAAAATATGATGCACCTTCAATGCCCTTGTTTAACATTTTAGGCTGATTAACAGTATACGAACTTCTATATTTACAGAAAAGCATTCTGATGTTCAAAATATTTCATCATATGTCTCCGGATTATATGAATGATTTTTTTTGAATTTCAAAGTTCTGGATCATACATGTTACGCTCAGAGACAAATTCAGAACTTCGTTTACCAAAATATTTTTATTCAAAAATTCTTTACAATATTCAGGGGTTATTATCTGGAATGAGTTGCCTATTAGTATTAGGAATTCCCAGTCCCTTTCAATATTTAAAAGTATTGTTGAAATTTTTTTACTTATGAAACGTACTGGTTCTACATAAAATTTATGTTTTCCTTTCCTTTCAATGAAATGTCAATATTTAATTTATTCTGTTTTAACAAAGTGTTTATATTTTATTGTTTCATGTTTGTAATTATTGTCTTTATTGTATAAAACATTGTATATATGTTATAAAGAAGGCCCTGAGGAAGACTAGTGCTTGCACTAATCGGGTTACCTTCTGTAAATAAAGTATTATTATTATTACATTATTAATATTATTACTTTATGATGCTTCAATCCTGAAGTCTTTTATCAGGAAACAAAAAAACCCATTTTAGTTCATTGATCGTGAAATACTTAGGTTTGTTTTAATTTTTAATATTCATACATGCTGAAGGTTTTCTTCTGTTTTAGAACTTTTTCTAATGGAATAAGGCAACTTATGCCCTGTTCACACGGAAAGTTGAATTCGAATTAAACGTAAGTTACTGTATCAAATATTCTTTACACTAGTTGCAGCAAATCAGCAGATACTTTTATTGTCTACATATGCCTTTCTTTGATTGTGATTTCAGAGGGGAATTTCATGGTTAAATATGAAAGAAGAAATGATAGCAGTGGTGTTTTTCCTTCTTTTACCATACATCAGAGGTAATATAATTTAGGAAAAATTTAAATAAGATAATAAGAACCCTCTTTACACTGCACACTAAAAGAGTTTTGATTCTATGGTATTTTTCTGCAGTTAGAGTGATCTGCCCTTAGATCTTAAGTCTAAAAAATAAAAATTTACAGTATATTTCTCAATTTGTGATCACTACAAGTGTTAAGATTTTAAAAGATTTTAAAAGGCCAAGATAAATGAAATGACATGTAATTAACATTCATTTTCTCTATGGAAGTAATTAATACTGATTTTTATTCCTTATTGTATTTGAACATTTTTCCTGGGAGTAAATGCCGTATACCATACAGTAAAAATTAAATAAATAAGCACAATATTAACACTTTTATGAAATATATTTTTTTAATGTCAAAAAACATTTTATAATGGTGTAGAGAGGGTCCTTAAGCCACTGTAACTTTTCCGAAACGATGAAAACATAAATTATGATCTTCAACAATGCAGTAATCATTTCAATAAACTAGTGATCAGAATACATTCTATTTTAACTGTTTGTGAAGAATTTGCATTTTAGAAACGTTAAGTGTTACTCCCTCTGTGAATAATAAAAAAATGGTTAATTAGATATTTCACTTTCTTTGGAGAGATTGTTTTTATATTGTACTTGCCACACTACTCTTAATCTCCATTAACTTAAATCACTAAAATGAGTATTGCTGTAAACACAGGTAGTCCCGTCTTTGAATTCGCTAGCCAAGGGTGACGATCTGCTCTTCTCTATTTACAGGAGTTTTCATATTGAGCCTTTTTATACTCCGTAATCGAAATACGGGGTTATATAGTTTTTGCTCTGTCCGTCTGTCTGTTAATCTGTTTGTCTGATTGTCCGTGTGAAAAGAGGAGATGATCGTCACCCTTATCTAGCGAAGATGAGGAAGTCCACACTACAGTTTTGACAACACAAAGTCACATACATGAAACATATGGAGATAACGAACAGTATTTAAGATCGAAATTCCGAAAAACAATACAAAATAGGAGAAGAGCAAACTCGGACCTCCAAAACATTAGAGGTGGGATCAGGTGCCATGGACGAGTGAGCATCCCCTGCCTACCGGTCACACCCAATTAACGTGTGCTCCTTGTCATAATCGGGAAATAACGGGAAAATCTGTTGTCAGTTCAGTGTATAAATGTTTTAGCGATTTAAATTTAAGAGGACTACTACCAAAACGACAAAATAAGCATCCCACTAAAATAACCCTCTAGATGGTAAGTCACACAATCAGAAAGATGAACTTTAAAAATGTTATTTAGAAAGAAGAAAACAAATTTGTTCAAATGATTTTTTAACAATTAGGATAATCACGTATCGATCTCATGCAATTAAAACCCAATAAAATATTGTCCATATATATATCAATATGAAAGTTCACTCCCTTCAGTTCCACACTATACGCCAAACCTCCGGGGCTGTAGTCCTCGGCTGTTGTCGATTCAGTTGGTGCTAAAATATTTACTCTCCTTATAATCCGAAAATAATTATTTACTCTACGTATGGCAATATTATTGTACAGGTATACTTGGTTTTCATTGAAATATCATTTAGTCATGTTTAAACATGACTTTTGGGCTCAATTTATGATATAAACATTTAGATATTTTCAATATCATCGTTTTTTAGCTCACCTGAGCCGAAGTCTCAAGTGAGCTCTTCTGATCAAAATTTGTCCGTTGTCTGTCCTCGTTGTCGTCGTCGTTGTTGTCGTAACCTTTTCACATCTTCATCTTCTTCTCAAGAACCACTGGACCTATTTCAACCAAACTTGCTACAAAGTATCCTTGGGTAAAGGGAATTTACGTTTGTTCAAATGAACCACCACGCCCTCTTTCAAGGGGAGATAATTATGAATAAGTGAAAAATTAATGGTATTTTTAAAAAATCTTCTTCTCCAGAACCACTGGACCAGAAAAGATGAAACTCATTTGGAATCATCTTCAGGTAGTGTAGATTTAAATTTGTTCAAATCATGACCCCCGGGGCAAGGGTGGGGCCATAATGGCCGATCAAAGTTTTGCATAGGAATATATAGGAAAAATCTTTAAAAATCTTCTTCTCAAGAACCATTGGGACAGGAAAGATGAAACTCATGTTGAATCATCCTCATATAATGTAGATTCAAGTTTGTTCAAATCAGGACCCCGGGGGCTAGGATGGGGCCACAATGGCCGATCAAAGTTTTACATAGGGAATATATAGGGAAATCTTTAAAAAAAATCTCTTCTCGAGTACTACAAAGCCATTATTAGTGATATTTATATGGAAGCATCCTCAGGTACTGTAGATTCTAGTTTGTTTAAATCATAACCCCCAGGGGTAGGGTGGGGCCACAATGGGGGATCCAAGTTTTACAAAGGAAGATAAAGGGAAAATTCTCAATATCAGAAAAGCTATGTTAAGTCATATTGACATGTAAGCATCCTCATGTATTGAAGATTTAAATTTGTTCAAATCATGAGTATACCCTTTGGGGTAGGGAGGGAAACAATGGAGAGTCAAATTGAAATTATTACAAAGCAATATATACAAACAAAATGATTTAAAGAAATCTATAAAAATCTTGTTCTCAAGAACTTCTCAAGAAGTTATATGCAGAATTGATATGGAGGCATTCTCAAGTAGTATTAGAATTCAAGCCCCCTCCACCACCCCCTCAGTAAACTTTTTAATATTCTGATCTGATCTGTGCTTTTTCCTAGCCGATGTGCTCAGGTGAGCGATGTGGCCTCTGGGCCTCTTGTTTACAGTTGGCATAGATACCAAATCGCTTACAATACTTTCGGTCGATTACTTCCGCTTCTTCATTTAAAAGAAAAAAAGTATATATACTTTTGTATATATAAGATATAGAATCAGACTTTATATGTATAGAGTCGTCCGCTTGGCACAGTGGTTGAGTGTTTGCTCTAGATCGCAGACAAAAGAGTTTATCCTTATGTCGCGGGTTCGAAGCTCACTGTGAGGCATGGAAACCGTTTCTTCGGATAAAACCGTATAAATCAAAGTCCGTTGTAACAGTAGATGCTGGTTCGAAAAAGATCCTCACTGTTTCCTGAGTGTCGAGCATATGTCGAAATTTGTAGCTCTCCATATGAGTGAAAAATTCTCGAGAAGTACGTGAAACAACAAACAAACGATCAAACACAAATGTGAAGAATTTTGTTTGTCTGTTTGTTATTTAACGTCTCTCTCGGGAATTTTTCACTGATATAAAGACGCCACAACTTACCGGTGGAGAGCTGCAAATTTTTTCCTATGCTCTGCACCTACGACAGGGAGAAATCTTCTTCGTGCCAGCACCTACTGCAACATGGGACCTCGGTCTATAGGGTCTAATCCTAAGGACCGGTTTCCACGTCCCAAGTGGGATTCTAGACCGCAACGTACTGTTAAACAGGTCTAGACGATTTCCAAATATGGAAGTCAAGAACGATAACCGAAAGTTGCTATAAATGGACATCAAGTAAACGCAATTATTTTTCTGACCAATCAGACTACAGCATTTTAACACACCCCAAAACATATTTTAAAAGAACAAAAAGAATTAACACGTGCTTTTGTTTTTTCCTCAGAAAGACATTTTCAACAAAAAATCTGTAGAAGTGAGACGAAAACTTTTGAAGAATAAGGTATTCCCCTACGGAAGCCTGTTGAGGCCACTTTAGAGAGAAAAATATTTTTTATTTAAACTTTGCGTTTAATCGCAATAATCATTGCGTTTAAACGCAAAACACTTTGCGTTTAATCGCAATAATTATTACGTTTAATCGCAATAAATATTGCGTTTAATCACAATAATTTTTTGCATTTAATCGCAATAATTATTTGCATTTAAACACAGTAATTTGTTGCATCGCAATAATCCTTCCTTTTTAGGATTCATTTTGCATTTAACCACAATGATTCAGTGCTGTAGTTTGAAATCAAACATCGGCTAGCCAAAAACTGTTATGAATACTATGATCTGATTCTATAAAGAAGAACCGTTTGGTTCTGTGTCTTGTTGCAAAATGTTGCAGTGTATGAGATTTGAAGTTGGCATCCTAAGTAAACAACCAGAGTTTCTTAAACCTGTTAGAATCCAACAATTTTAAAGCAGCCGTTAATCAATTCCTTAGGTATCACAGCAAATTAAGAATGTTTCAGTGGTATTAATAGCCATATCAATTTGGTAGTACAAATCGATCAATCTGTTTTCATTTTATTTATTTTTGATTTCATATGATTCCATCTCCTAAATTTTCATGTTCTCGTGCCTACTGTATGTGATCAAAGGAAAGGTTTTGAATATACAGGAATATAGACATCTATACATTCTAAAGCTTTGTTTCATTCTAAGGTTGTCTTTGTTTTTACAGACCGTCACCTCTTTCTCCTCTTTAAATCCATACCAATGATTTAATCATTCGGAAAATGCTTGTTCAGAAGAATCTGATTCTATAATGCTTAACAATACACAATTCTCCTCATAGGTTATGTACAAAAGAAAAAAGAAACGAATATCAGCGTGGATCCATTGCACTTTTCAAAAATCGATAGAAATGATTGCTTTTAAATACAAAGATTATTGCGTTTAAATGCAAAAAATATTGCGTTTAATCGCAATATTATTGCGTTTAATCGCAAAAGTATTGCGTTTAATCGCAATATTATTGCGATTAAACGCAAGAATTATTGCGATTAAAGGCAAAAATATTATTGCGATAAAACGCAATATTATTGCGTTTAATCGCAATCTTTTGCGATTAAACGCAAAGTGCTTTGCGTTTAAACGCAACGATTATTGCGATTAAACGCAAAGTTTTGCGATTAAACGCAATAATTATTGCGTTTAAACGCAATAAAAATATTTCTTTCTCTGAACTGGCCTCAACGGGCTTCCGTATTCCCCACATATTTACCGTGAACAACCTTGACATTTTTATCTCATGATAGAATGTAATCGTTCAGTACAGAGGTATAGATCGCACCAGCAAGTTCCTATCACATTCAATTATAACATAAACCAGAATATATCATATGTTGGTAAATATAATTATGCTTATCCGCCGAATACTAAGCTATGCAGACTTAAATGAGTACAAGTTTGGCTTTCCAGAAAGCCTGAAATGTTATCTCTTTGGCTTCGTTAATGTCACAGAATAGACAGTGAAATGTAACTTTTTCTCAGCTATTACATACACTGTATTTTTCTATACTATTCCTCCAGGGAAGGGGAGTGGCATTTTATCTGAACAATATTAGATAAAGAAAATAAGAGTTAAAATCCTATATTGTGGATAGGAAGGAAATATCTTTTTATTTGGGGAAGCTGTATATTCATTGCGCACAAAAAAGTGCGCTGTTTTCTTATTATTTCTCCATTCTCCTCCTGGCCCTGAAAGTAAGATGATCGAAAAAAAAATTGTTTGCAAGATAAAAAAAAAATCATTTTATGCATATATATGCATATTTGTTCTGCGAAAAGGTCTGTTGATTATGCATTGTATATCATTTGTTAAGTTTTTATGGTCATTGAAATTAAAATAATTGTTTGTTTTCTCATTATGGTAATTTTTGCCCTTTCCGCTGCCCATAGATATCTATTCGATAAAATTTTTATGTCAGGCTATAAAAACTGAAAATTTTCCGTATTTATATCAAATTTTTAACGTAAGTTAAACTTTTAGGATTGCTACCTCCTAGTGACAGATTTTTTTAACCCACTTAAAAGGTATTCTAAGCTTTCAAGTCGTGTTTGTCCACGGTAGAATTGTCATAAATATTATATTATTCCCAAATGCGCTTAAAGTTTACAAAAATTTTGTTCTAAAAAAACATTTAAGCAAAAAACTTATTAACCACGTGTTTTATTTATTTTCTCATGGGTTTGTCTAAATGCTTTTATCTGATTGGTCAGAAGGACTAGCTCCTTGTTTATTCTGTGTATTAATAGCAATTTATGGTTATCGTTCTTGACTTCCTTATTTGGAAATCATCCAGACCTGTTAAACTTTGGACAAGATAACCTCCTCAAACACCCTCGCTAATGTCACACCTGAACGCACACACAGGTAACTCACTGATTAGTACATGCAAGGGTGAATTTTAAAATTACATCAAATATAGCTAGAAATACTGCATAATATACTCACCACGGTATATTATGCTAAACTTATACAATATAACATTTGTGCTGTCCCATTAAACTGTGTCTTGATAACTGAACAGTTCTGCCGGTAATGACTCATTATCTATTGTTATCTGTCGACTGAATTTGTTTGTATAGAAATCTGGGTGCTAATAAAGAGGTTTTTGAAGGAGTAAAATTTGCAAAAAAAATAAAAGGAGTACTCAAGGGATCAAACTAGTGATTGTTACATACAGCATAAAAAGAAATCATAAACTGACGGTAGAATGCACGTTCATGTGCACTGGGAAATACAAACTTTTAATCTATTTCAATCTGTCTCCATAGTGACAAATAAAAATTGATAGATTAAAATTTTAAGAACGATTTGTATTAAAAAAAATTGTAATCTCTTTGTGATGGTTTTGTCTTAACGCTTTTCTTTTTATCCTACAGCTTCCGCAATCATCGAAGTTTTGACAGAGGATGATACGCAATATATCAAGCTTAGTACGCATTGTATCACTGCAGCAGAAAGATCATTCTTCTCTTTTGAAGTCAAGGCAAAAAATGATGCTCACTTTGCCTTAATGAGTGCGGATGACGACAACGAGCCTCTGTATGAAATCGTTCTTGGAGGATGGACAAATACGAAGTCGTGTGTTAGAGTAGAGAAGCAGGGTACATGCTACGGTACAAAACAAGCCCAAGTTTTACAGGAAAGCAGCTTTAAGACATTTTGGGTGTATTGGCTAAATGGTAACATCACCGTTGGTTTAGGAAATATACGTGATGGAAATGTATTTTTGAAATATTATCACTCTACTCCATATCCCGTGAATTACTTTTCTGTAATGACCGGCTATGGTTCAACGGGACACTGGAAATTTACAAACGGTTAGTTTTAATGTATTCTTATAAAACCACGAGATAGCAAATTCTAAGCAGAGTTGTGATAAATAAATATTAAAATGAATTGTGATAACGAAAAATAGAATTTTACATATTAGAAATACTGTAGTCCATTATTTAAAAAAAAATATTTTTTATTGAAAAGATGTTCGATGCAATTTTGAGGTCTTTAACAATACCAAAGTTGTCGAGAACAACACAAATTGCCATGGAACCGTGAAGTATGAGTGCGACCAAGGGTTCTATCTTTACAGTGGAAACATACAACGCACCTGTTTAATGAACAGGACATGGTCGGGAGAACCCCCTCATTGTAAACGTAAGAATATGTAATATTTCAGCTAAAACTATGAAAAGAGAGAGTTCTTCCTCACATGGGTTCGTCCCTGGGAAGATCAGGAATATTATGATATTAATCAGTTAATCTCTTTCGGTAAAAATATTGATTAATGAATAGTATAGAAAGTAAACAACATGAATTATTGATTGTATTGTAATTTACAAAATGGTTATAAAGTGTCAATATTTTTTTTATCAAACATAATCAACACATCAATTTTAACATACCCCATTTTATTTGAACCGTAACATAGTCAGTGATAAGATAACCTTAATTTGTGTTCTAGGAATTTTGTGTCCACAGCTTTCGTCGACAGCCTCGTACACAATTCAACACCAGGACACCTATGCTGGGGGGAATGTCACTGTCGCGTGTTCTAATAACTTTCGACATTTCTCGGGTCACCTGACCAGGAAATGTGCATTAAGTGGATTATGGGAAGGCGAGGAACCTGTGTGCTTTCGTAAGTTTCAGACAGGAGTTTGTGGTATACCTGTTTTTGAATATATGCTTGAATATCTATATACTATAAATTACCCTTTTCTCTAAATTACAACACCTGGATAATGATTGTATATTGTTTTATGCCCCTCTCGGGAATTTTTCCCTCATGTGGAGACTCCACTACTTGCCGGTGGAAAGCTGCAAATTTTCTCCTACACTCGGCACGCATGGCCATTGAGCAGAGAGGGATCTTTTTCGTGCCAGCACCTACTAAGACACGGGACCTCTGTCTCATCCGAAAGACCGGTCTCCACGTCCCACATCCGCGATGATTTATCCGCGACGTAACGACAAATTCCTTACTTCGCTACTCTAGAGCAGTACCTGGGTGATGAAGACCTATTGAATTCCTTTGCCCTGAAACCAGAGGAGGAGGAGAGGCTGTCCCATATTTTAGGCGTCACATTAAGTCACCCTGAACTATTGCCTTCCTATCTGTTGTATACTGCGACGACACCATCTTTGAAAATCGCCGGATTTCATTATCGAAAATCTGCGTTTTTTATTTCATTTCCGACAATTTTTTTTTCATCCGACACTTAGAAACAAATTTAGACAGGATTCCGTACTGTTAAAACATGCGAAATAGTAAAACAACAAAACGGAAAGAAATATACACATGTATCGTACAGCTGAAGCAAAATTCTCTCGCTCTCAAGTGTTCTTGCTCTTCTTCTTTCAACTACAGTCCCTCTAAACAACTAGTCGTCAATATAGTTGACAATGAAGATCCTAGAGCACACATCTTAAAACAAGAGGCCCAGGGGCCACATCGCTCACCTGAGCAATTGGCTAGGAAAAAGCACATATCAGATCAGAACTGAAAGTTTACTGAGGGGGGTGGGAGGGGGCTTGAATTTTAACCCCCCCAGGGGGGTCATGATTTGAACAAACTTGAATCTACATTACCTAAGGATGATTCCCTATAAATATCACTAAGCATGGCTTTGAATACTTGAAAAGAAGATTTTAAAAGGCTTCCTTACATATTCCTATGTAAAACTTTGATCGGCCATTTTGGCCCCATCCTACCCCCGGGGGTCATGATTTGAACAAACTTGAATCTACACTGCCTGAGGATGATTCCACATGAGTTTAATCTTTCCTGGCCCAGTGGTTCTTGAGAAGAAGATTTTTAAAGATTTTTCCTATATATTCCTATGTAAAACTTTGATCAGCCAATTGGCCCAACCCTACCCCCCGGGGGTCATGATTTTTGAACAAATTTAAATCTACACTACCTGAGGATGATTCCACATGAGTTTAATCTTTCCTGGCCCAGTGGTTCTTGAGAAGAAGATTTTTAAAGATTTTTCCTATATATTCCCATGTAAAACTTTGATCGGCCATTTTGGCCCCACCCTACCCCCAGGGGTCATGATTTGAACAAACTTGAATCTACACTACCTGAGGATGATTCCACATGAGTTTCATTGTTCCTGGCCCAGTGGTTCTTGAGAAGAAGATTTTTAAAGATTTTTCCTATATATTCCTATGTAAAACTTTGATCAGCCATTTTGGCCCCACCCTACCCCCAGGGGTCATGATTTGAACAAATTTGAATCTACACTATCTGAGGATGATTCCACATGAGTTTCATTTTTCCTGGCCCAGTGGTTCTTGAGAAGAAGATTTTTAAACATTTTCCCTATATATTCCTATGTAAAACTTAGATCAGCCATTTTGGCCCCACCCTACCCCCGGGGGTCATGATTCGAACAAACTTGAATCTACACTACCTGAGGATGATTCCACATGAGTTTCATCTTTCCTGGCCCAGTGGTTCTTGAGAAGAAGATTTTTTAAAAATGCTATTAATTTTTCTCTAATTCATAATTATCTCCCCTTGGAAAAGAGTGTGGCCCTTCATTTGAACAAACTTGAATCCCCTTTACCCAAGGATACTTTGTAGCAAGTTTGGTTGAAATTGGCCCAGTGGTTCTTGAGAAGAAGATGAAAATGTGAAAAGTTTACAACGACGACAACGACGACGACGACAACGACGACGACAACAACGACAGACAACGGACAAATTGTGATCACAAAAGCTCACTTGAGCCTTTGGCTCAGGTAAGCTAAAAACCTAAATAAGTAAATTTATGAATATTCGAACCATTTGTCCTTTTCTGTTTTCACTTAATCAAAGAATTAGAAAGGCTAGCTAAACAATGATTCCATGTAACCGACAATGGTTGTGTCAATATCGTCTTTCTTTGCATGGCTTGTAATTACCAAAATTTAGAAGAACTTGGTTTCGATTTAATTTATAACATATACTCACAATTCCCTTTATATCAATCTTCTTTAAATAAAATTCTTCAAGATCATATACATATTACAAAATCAATAGTTATGGGAGACAATTATTATTATTATCAGATTATAGTTAACCTCAAGAGAAATTCTGGGTAAATCCAGGATCCTGGATTTACACAATGCATTTCAGTTTAGATACGCGCCGATAACTCGATAGATTAAATGTTAACAAGAGGCAATATTATCCTTGTCACATGATTATATATAACCAATAAAAATGCTCTATCGCGACATTTCACCAATCACGACGAAGAATGACACTGTACAAAATAAAAAGAAAAGAAAAGTTTATTATAAATATTATTATTTGTACATTGTTTTATAGTTTTCCTTTCTAAGAGAAAAGTTAAAGAAAAGTAAATATACTCATTAATATCACGGCGGAGAATCTACGTCATCGGACGGGATTAGGACACACAAAAATGGAGGACAAATGCTCCGCTTCGACGTAAGAAGTTGATATTTTTGCATTTATAAAGAATGAATATTAAATCAGTATCCTGCCTAAAGTATGCCAAAGAACGTCAACTACAATAGACAATGTACGTTTGCTCGTGATAGAATCTTATTGTTCCAAACACTTCGACACAGTTTGAAAACAAGTGAGAAAAAACCGGGATGTGGGGTACACATTTTTAAAATTCGATCAATTATTCGCATGTCCAGATGTACTAGACATTTTATTCTTCCGCGTTTACACTAGAACTAATATTTTTTAAAAATCCTGATTTTTAAAATAGTTTATTATGCTTTAATTATCCAAGAAAAAAGTATAAATCATTTTGTTTTCAGAAATGATGTAGGGCACACCAACACTAAAACGGATATGGGACACACAATAAGTTACTTTCAAATTGAAACATCGAGCATTCACATCTTAAAGTTTCCATTTAAATGACTGCCATTTGATAGTATATGAACAATAACCTGTACAACTCATCTTTGTAATACTCATCCAAATACTTGATTCCCTTGGTTTGCTTGTATCCATACAAAAATTATAAGTTGAAAACGCTGGTCTGATCTCCAACAAAAGCTTCCAACATGAATTTTAAATTTTGACTTTTATTAAATTCCATGTAGAAATTTACAGGTGTTCACTTCTGCAGATCCATAGAAAGAGGGGGGGGGTTCGAAGTCCGGAGATTGTGTTTATTTTATGATATTTCTATTTAAAGTTTCACGACATCCGCCCCCCCCCCCTTGGAAAAAAAACACCCCCCCCCCAAAAAAAAAAAAACAACACACACACACACACACACACACACACACACACACCTGTACAAACTCACGAAATAAGTTTTTTTTAGCTTTGTCTTACTTTTCTGCTTGTCAAAATAGTTTTGAGTCAGAAAAATCTTTAATTGGAATTCCCTTGGTTTGCTTGTATCCATACAAAAATTCAAATATTATAAGTTGAAATGGCCGGTCTGATCCTCAACAAAAGCTCATTAGCTGCCAAAATGAATTTTAAATTTTGACTTTTATTAAATATCATATTGAAAGATACTGGTATTTACATGTGGGGATCTAAAAGGAGGGTTGAAGTCCGGAGTCTATGTATATGATTTTACGTACTCTACGATATTTTTGTGTTAAGTAACACGACCCAGACCCAATTAAATACATATAAAATAGCTTTTTGAGGTTGATTGTTTAATTTCTTTGCTTGTAAAAATATTTTGGAGTCAGAACTTCTTTTTCTTTCTGATTTTGTGTGGACACCCCCCCCCCTTCGAAAAGTTTCTGTATTTGCATATTCAATGTTTGTTTTTATTAGATCTTTGTAGGTAAGACTCTAGTATGTCAGCTGATAGGAAGCGGAGATTAGGGAATTTTTCTTATGCTCAAATATTTGCAACAGCTGACAAACTTCTTTCAAAATTCTAATAGTTAATTACCGACTCCATATATTTGAGAAAAAAAGACAAAATTGAATATTGTACTTCGAAGTTAACATCATCGTATTGATTGAAAAAAAAATTATTGTTTTATTATGTGTCTTTCCTGATATACTTTATTTTATCAAATAAAATATACAACATGACTATATGAAGATAGTCATGTTGTATATTTTATTTGATAAAATAAAGTATATCAGGAAAGACACATGTATGAATCAGTGATTAAATATTACGTACTCATAAAGCAGTTCATGTCATCTTATTTACATTCGCTGGAATATTAGCCAAAAGCAATGATAGGAGCCGGCTTAAGTAAACATTACCAGCCGTATAAATTGGGATTTTTTTGTTGTAAAAAGTACTTTCGTAGCTATACATAAAAAAGAAATAATGTCAGGCTCTTTTATATGATAAGGTTTGAAAAGGGGGGGGGGGTCATTATCAGAGAAAAATGACAGCTAAAAACCTTTGATTGGCACCCACGAAAAGACAATTTTTAACTTCAAGTTTTGTTTTGGCCCTGCCCATCACTGACAACCACTTTCATACATTCGATTTCTAATATTATGTTCACCTGAGTGCAAGCTAGGAGCAAATAAAATAGTTTTCCAAAACTATTTGTTGCAATTTGGAATTTCCCGATCAATTTTTAGACCACTGTGTAGGGAAAATAAATTCTTATTATCACCTGGAAGGTCAGTTGTTGCAAATATTTGAGCATAAGAAACGTTCTTGATCTCTTTCCCATATTAAAAGACATGCTAGTGTCAAAGATCTTATTAATACCAATTTGCAGATTTAAGAACTTTTTCGGGGGGGGGGGGGGGGGGGGAGTCCACACAAAGTCCAAAGAATTTTCTGACTCCAAACTATTTTCCAAACTATTTTGACAAGCAATAAAGTAAGCAACAAAGCTAAAAAAAACTTATTTCGTGAGTTTGTATGTGTGTGTGTGTTTTTCGTGTTTTTTTTCGGGGGGGGGGGGGGGGGGCGGATGTCATGTAACTTAAAATGGATATATCAATAAACACAATCTCCGGACTTCGACCCCCCCCCCTCCCTCTTTCTATGGATCTGCAGAAGTGAACACCGGTAAATTTCTACATGAAATTTAATAAAAGTCAAAATTTAAAATTCATGTTGGAAGCTTTTGTTGGAGATCAGACCAGCGTTTTCAACTTATAATTTTTGTATGGATACAAGCAAACCAAGGGAATCAAGTATTTGGATGAGTATTACAAAGATGAGTTGTACAGGTTATTGTTCATATACTATCAAATGGCAGTCATTTAAGTGGAAACTTTAAGATGTGAATGCTCGATGTTTCAATTTGAAAGTAACTTATTGTGTGTCCCATATCCGTTTTAGTGTTGGTGTGCCCTACATCATTTCTGAAAACAAAATGATTTATACTTTTTTCTTGGATAATTAAAGCATAATAAACTATTTTAAAAATCAGGATTTTTAAAAAATATTAGTTCTAGTGTAAACGCGGAAGAATAAAATGTCTAGTACATCTGAACATGCGAATAATTGGTCGAATTTTAAAAATGTGTACCCCACATCCCGGGTTTTTCTCACTTGTTTTCAAACTGTGTCGAAGTGTTTGGAACAATAAGATTCTATCACGAGCAAACGTACATTGTCTATTGTAGTTGACGTTCGTTGGCATACTTTAGGCAGGATACTGATTTAATATTCATTCTTTATAAATGCAAAAATATCAACTTCTTACATCGAAGCGGAGCATTTGTCCTCCATTTTTGTGTGTCCTAATCCCATCCGATGACGTAGATTCTCCGCCGTGAATATATACTGTAGATAACGAAGCATTCTTATTTGTTTTCGATAGGTTGTAAATGCCCTTGTTCATTGACTGGTCAGCAGAAGTTCAACTCATCAATAGAACTAGAACAAAAGATTGAAAAACTAAAAAAAGAACTAACAATCCTTAAAAACTCCACAAATTCCTTTTATCGAAAGAAGATCTCTGCTCCAGACAATCGGCCTTCATCCGCTGGACTTGGATATTTGTTTGGTTATGGTGTTATTCTTTTCATTATGTTATCTTTGGTGATTTCAGATATGCCGAAATGGTACCGACATATTCGATTTGGAGCAAACTGAAACTTTTTCAAACCGGTTTTTATAAACACCATAATCAAAACAATACTTTCATTTATAATTTATATATTTTTCAAATCTAACCAAAAAGGAAAATGATTGTAATTAAAATGCCTACTGTAATCGCCCTTAACAAAACATTCACCTGCGTGTATATAAGGGGGGAAATGTTATATCTATTTAATTTTAAGGTTAAAGAATTGAAAGAACTGGAAAATTCAAAGTATCAGGTAGAGTGCCCTCCAGCCGTTATAATTGTTTAAGTGGTAGAAATGCAGTTATCTCGAAAGAATAAGCAATTCAGAATGGCAGTATCTGTCATGGCTTTATTTTGTTTAAGATAGGTTATTACATAATAAATCAATGGTATCAAAACAATGGACAATGATCAAGTATTATTGCAAGTGTCAATGAGTAGGCGCCGATCCTCAATCTGGCATTTGGCGCCTACGGTTTGCAGAAACGGAGCCATATGGTGCTGACAACCCTGGAGGGTAAACAGAAGTTGCCAGCGATGGCTTGTTGCAAAATTCTGCCAAGTGGATTGCTGTGCACGAATTTCGAGACTGCAATCCATCCGCCAACAAGTGGCGGACAATTTGGCAAACAAGACATCATGTCTTATGCAACGCAATGATTCTCAAAGCAATTCAAAAACAATATGCAGGGTAGCAACAATGAATAATGTGGCAAAGCAATATAACACAACATATCAAAGCATCAAAAAGCATAACTGGGGGGAGGGGAGAGGATAAGGATGCAATGCAACTCAGTGCAATTGCGACTACTATCATGAATATGGGATGGTGTGAGGGTTTCTTTTACAAGCCATGCACAGATACTGTGTTTTATGGGAGTGTGGGGAAAACCTTTTGACAGGAAGTCAGAAACTTGGACAATGCCGTTTGAATTGTAGTTGTAAAAATAGAATTTCCAATATCTGATAAATGAACACAATCGAGGAATAATTTGGGCTGATCAATTCTAATATCAGGGTAACGAATGAGGGCCCCATTTAACTTTTGCACAACAAAGCAACCAATGGAATTATTGATTCTTTTTCTAGATTTCTCTGCAGCTTCGCTCGAAATCATGTAACGCCAATATTTGCGAGGAAGTATATTTGACCATACAAGAAGAGTGTTTGGTAATTTTTTATGAAGGGAGGCTAATAATGATTTCATGGCTATTTGTAATTTTTTAAGGGACTGAATGCCAATACTGTTGCCACCACAGTGAACTATTAGAACTTGAGGAATGATTTCATTATGGCGATTTAACAAACTAGCAATGTGTTGATCGAGTTGCTCCCATTTTAGTCCCCCAGATCCGGACCAGGTTACATCTATGTTTAAGTGCTCCAGAGACAAGTTTTGGCCAATTGGTGAACGTGTGCAGTAATCTTCAGCTCGTCTGATGATGGAAGATCCAACAATCCATACCTTGCAGCGAGTTCCTGCAAACTTAGCTTACAGTTAGTAAGACTGACTATCTACAAGACTACAGTATTAGGGCGAACATATGACTTAAAAGCGTTGGATTTCCATCTACCCATGGTTTTGATTTCTTGCTCTGGAGTACCTTGCATATACAATGAAGTTGCAGCCCCTATGCGAAATGAATGGGATTTGAATGTTGATACATCAAGTTTGAGGAATGATAGAGCTTTCTTTAGTATTTGATTGAATTGATAGTAAGTCAAGGGTGAGCCATCCATGTGGCACAGAAACTGTGATGTTTGAGTTTGTGATGGTCTATGGGTCGCGTACTCTAGAATGTTGTGGAATAGGACTTGATTTTGCTTTGTACTGTTAATGTGCATTGTTGTGCCCTTGCCATGCTGATCTGTTTTAGTTTTCCCTAATGTGATCTGAATGGATGATTGGGATATTGATACATTTTCTATTGATAATGGGGAACTGTGGGTATTTGCCCTAGTGGTGGTTATTTCACCAACTCGAAGTAAAGCAAAGAATGCGAGCCCATATGCTGAGGAGAACAGTAATTTTTCATAATAATTGCGACACACATGTTGCAGCGAGTCTATTAACTTGACTAATAGGGGAAATGTTATCGGGCTTCTTGAATCTTTTCTATGTTTTAGTTGTTTAAAGCCATTTAGTATTTTCTTGACTATGAAAAATTGGCATGGGTCTGGGAAATTACCAAGTTTTATGTTGAAGCTTAAGCCAGCTAGGTAGGTTTTGGCTGTAGAGTATGTTGTCCCCTTTGAGGATAGGTTAGCAATATAGTTAATGAATTGGTCTATGGGAGGGGGCCATACTTCCGTTAAGTTAAATTTTTTTCTAAATTGTGCAAATGAGTCAAGACCTTTCTGGTATATTTCTTGAGTGTTATGAGAGACTGATGCTGAGAGTAGCTGTTCTACTTCCTGCTCAAATGGTTCCAGAATTCCAGAGGAACTTGGCAGGGATAATAGTCTGCGTGGGGGGCCAGCTTCCTGAACTTTTGCCACTGAAAACGAGATATGGCATCAGCTATAGAATTAGAATGACCTGGTACATGTTCGCAGCGGACTTGGATATTGTATTTTAATATTTTATAAAGAAAAAGCCTGAGGAGGGACATAACTCTTGGTGACTTTGATGTTTTTTGGTTGATTATCTCGACAACAGCCATGTTATCAATATGCAAGATTATTTTTCTGCCTTGTAGTTTGTGGCCCCATATGTATATTGCAAGGGCGACTGGGACTAACTCCAGATAAGTCAGATCTCTACAATCGTGTTGTGACCATTCTGAAGGCCATTGTAGGTAGGACCATTGTGTACCAAATATGACCCCACACCCAAGTGAACCAGAGCTATCCGAGGATATGTGAATAGTGTCTTTATCTGACCAGTGAATATCTGGGAATACAGTTGTGCCATTAAAGTCGGACAGGAACTCGAGCCATATATCTACATCTTCGCGAAGTGCCCTTGAGATAGTGATATAATGGTGTTGTTTACATCCCTGTGATAGGCTGTCATAAAATCGCCTACAAAAGGCTCTCCCTGCAGGTATTGCCTTTGAAATAAATGCCAAAGATCCAACTAATGATTGCATTTCTTTAAGAGTAATTTTGCGACGTGAGGCAACGTTTTGTAGTTGGGCTTTAAGGGCGTCGACTTTATCTTTAGGGACAAATATAGTTTGGGTGATGGTATTAATCCCTAACCCTAGAAATGTTAAACATGTTGTAGGACCTTCAGTTTTTTCCTCTGACAGAGGAACGCCGAGTGTTTCACAAGTTATGTCAAATGTTTGCATGAGGTTTTTGCACACAAGGGTGTTTGCAGGGCCTGCAAAAAGGAAATCATCGAGGTAGTTTACTAATGTGTCAATATTGGCTCGATCTTGAACAATCCAATGGAGGGCTGTTGCAAATTTTTCAAATGTGGCACATGCTATAGAGCAACCGAATGGGAGGCACTTATCGAAATAATAGTTGTTAAAATAAAAACCAAGCAAGGAAAAATCTTCGGGGCGAATAGGAAGGAGTCTGAATGCGCTAGAAATGTCTTTTTTCCCTAACAAAGCTCCCTTGCCTAGTTCTTTTATCATTCTTACTGTCGAGTCAAATGATGTATAATGAACGGTGCATAGATCTGGGTCTATAAAGTCATTAACACTATTTCCCTCCGGTGCAGATAAGTTACAAATCATACGCCACCCCCCTTGCTTTTTGGGAACAATGCCTATTGGGCTACACTTGATATTTGACATGGGGATATTCTTGAACGGCCCAGCTACTCTACCTAATTTAACCTCTTGATCAATTTTTTCTTGGAGCTGCTGCGAATTTGTTTGTGCGGATTTCATGTTTTTAGATTTTTGATATTCCCGTATACCCGAATAACAAATGTTGAAACCATATTGAAAACCATTGATTAATTCATGAGCAATATGTTGCAAGGGGTAGTCTTTTAGCATTGATTTTAGGATGTTAACGTTGACTGGGGTTGGGGCCAAGTCCCAGAGGCCTTGGTTGGTTTGGGGGGAACCCTCTACTCTGAAATCTGCTTGGGGGCTGGCGGGGATGTTCGGCTTGGGATGGGCGAAAGTTTTCTGTGCGAAATGCCTGACTGTTGTGCCAGCGGCAGTTTATGAGTGGGTGATTATTGGAGCATTTAATGCAAGCGTGTTGATAAGTGCAGTATGGTCTTCCACATGTGCCTTTGTAATTGAAGTCAAAGCATTTTGGAGATTTAGATGTATAATTTGGGGTTTGCTGTGATAGGGTGTTGTGGCCATGTGACACATACAAGAGCCATAATTCTGCGTCGACACACCCCCAGTCGAGAGTATGGTTCCTGGAGCGCTTTAGTCTAAACTGTATGTCATAATTGAGTCAGTTTAAGTTTGATGATCGCTGTGCAGCAGTGCGTATGATGTTAATGTATTTAAGGATTGATTGAATGTGTTCAGGGAACTTAGTCAAGTAAATGCTGCTGAAAATGAGGAAAGCATTTGTCCATGTTTCGATTGAAGTTATTTTGATTTCCTTATGCTTAGCCTTTAACACTAATTCGCCAGCGACAAATGCGAGCTGTTGCTGGGGCTCGTCATTTGGTTTGAGAGGAAGTAATTTATGCAAGTGAATGAATGCATTATCATATATGTTTTGTCTCAGGTTATCTGGGACATGCACGCCCAATGCGTCTGAAACGCTACATAATGAATTTGGTGTTGTTGCACTTGAATTAGATAATGTATTAGTGCTGCCTGAAGTACCTGTAGAAAGCATTGTTGGCGATGCCTCAAACTCTGAGGGGTCAGGGATGTCTATTACTGAGGAAGTTGTAGGCTGATTTGATAAGGCTGGAGGTATGGCGTCAGGAGTGACCTGGTTCGGTCGATTCACGGTGCTTGCAGCAGGGGTGACCTGGTTCGGTTGAGTCACGGTGCTTGTAGGCCTGGATGCTTTGGCCTTTTTGGTGGCAGCTTGAGCTCGGCCGGGCCTGGCATATGGAGACTTTGTAGTCCTTTTTGCACGGAGCATGTTTCGATGACCGGTGGAACGATACCTGTACAATATAGTAATCCACGTAATGGGTTGCAACTTGGAGGTGATTTTTCTGTCGATGCTGTCTGATCAAAATCGTCGAGCGGAGAGGATGTGTGCGCAAGCGCATTTAAGACTTGTGGCTATTTTGGAAATTTGGTTGAGGACAGGGGAGTTATCGCGCTTAGGCTATTCTTCTTCGATAACTGGCATTTACCGCACATGGCGGTATATGCAGTTATTTATGCCGTATTATTACAACGTGTCGATTGCAGTCTTATCTTTTCATCGTAAAACTCCAAGCTTTATATGGTGTCACTGGACGCATTTACATGAAAATAAGTAAATCAGATGCGCATTAACAACGTAAATCAAAAAATCAATATGACAATGAGAAAAAATTGAGATTGAACACTCTTCGTTATCTCCTTATCCTTCTACTGAATAAAAGAAAAAAGAGAAAGAACTTCCGTGATTAACATATAATTTACCTATAACAACACATTTCAGACGGAATAATTAATTTCGATTTCATTAAATTTGACTCAGAAGTTTAATCAATAAAAGATACTGCTAAGTTGAATTTCCAAAACTGCATCATAGAAAAAAAGATCAAGAGTTGTATTGAATATCATGATACGATCAGAAAGTTATGACTGCAAGTTAATAGTTTGATAAATAAATAAAAAAAATAAAAAGCTTTGTCAGACCCTGTGATGTCTTTTATTTCAAGTTCACCTTTATTTATTGATTCGACTGAATGGAAGTAAGTTTGATATTTCTTTGTCAATATCTACAGATCTATATGTCGAATTAGAGACTAAACAAGTGTTTTCTTCTCTTGTGTTTTTGAATACGTTCTGCTTCATAGGAATATAAAGACAGACCGGCTAATGTGCCCAATTAGTGCCCATGGCAACTCAAAACGTTTTAAAGACTGGTGTCCAAAGACTTCATACACATTTTAAGTTTGGGAGTCAGGTATTCTTTTTTCATCAACCTTGACATTGACATTAAAACCTACACTTGTACACTCTAAACAAGCTTTCTTCACGACAAAATCAAAACTATACATTTTTTACATAGACAACTGCTTTCTCAATGAAAATGGAACTCGGAAAGTTTTGCATCTTGAGATAGGTCATCAAAGAAAATCACTTTGTTAAAAATCACCCTGATTCTACCTAAAGTATCCTTGGGATAATATTAAAAGGAAACTGGAGTTCCCCATCGACACCTTTTTGCAGTCTTTGGAGACCAATTCTTCCTTCAAAAGTTTGAAATTCGATGGGCACTAATTGTGCTCCTTTATTGCCGACCTGTTTTAATATTTCTATGAAGCAGAATCAGAGTATATTTTTTTAAAAAACTTTACATGACAAGAGAAAAACACTTGCTGTGGGGTTCAACTCAACATTTAGATACAACGATGACGTATGATCAAGTAACATTAGTTACTTTAGTTCATATGTCGACTCGATATATCCCAGTGAACTTTAAATTAAAGTCACCACTGAATGTGCCACAACTGTTTCATATTTGGAAGTTTTACTGCATATGGAAGATGAAGGCCAACTGAAACTCTCCTGTATTAGAAAAGAAATGATTTCCTCTTCATCTTTTCCAAAGTGAACTTTCCGTATTTGTAAAGTAATATTCCGCTATCACCTATTTATGGTATTGCGGGTAAAACGTTGCATTATTATACTTTTTTGATATTCTTATTCAAAAAGTTTGTTTTCTTTTTCTAAACCATGTCATTCCTGTTCGATAAAATATTATTCCCATTCGATTAAATGTTATTCTTGTGCGAAAAAATGTTATTTCTGTTCGAAAATTCATCACCTTTAAGTTGTTATTCTGTTTGAAAATATATGATTCTTATAATTCGATAATTTTTTCATTTGTATTCGATAATAAAATGATTTATATTCGAAAATCATGTAAAACATGTCGTTCCTATTTAATTGAATTTACCACCAGTTCTAGTTTTGTCATATTTCCCAGAATGCAATTATTGAAAAAGAATAAGAAAAACATCGCAGAGAAGAGATAAAATTATGCAATAAGATTAGAAGTTTATCGAATAAGAATCGTATTTTTTCGAATAGAAATGGATGCTAGTATGTTTTCGAAAAACAACTTTATTGCATATAAAGCAAATAATAATCGAACAAGAAAGATAAAATTATCGAATAGGAATGACAAAATAGGAATCACATGTCTTCTAGTGGGATAGAATAGGAAACGCATGTTTTCGAGAAAAATGATATGATAATAGAATCATATTGAATTTGTCATATTTCCTCCAATGGGAATAGCAATTTTTAAAAAAAAAAATTTACAAATTATCGAATAGGAATACCATTGTATCGAATAGGAATCACATTGTATCGAATTAGAATGATATGTTTTAGAACAAGAATCTCATTCTCAAGGTTATGCTTATGAAAACAATCAATTTTTATTAAGTCGAGGCAGGCTACTGACAGATACGTTTTTTTTTTTACAGAGATTTCACCAACCTTGTTTAAAGTCAGCATTACTTACATGCTATGGTCGCTATCTTGATCTTTTTCATAATTATAACTTGTCATTGGATTCATTTTGACCGATGTGTTTCATTCTAAATCTAATTTTAGGCTTTTAATTTTTTTAATTTTTATACTGAATTTGACTAGATGGGATGTTCTGCCCACCTGATCAATAATTTATGGGACTCAATTTTAGACACTAGATTTCCAGGATTTTTGTTTAATGCCCTATCCTAGTTTTGTAGTTATTTATGGATTTTAGAAAGTATTGTCAAACATAAAGTTGTCATGCTTGAAGAAAACTGAAATCGTGCACTTATCAAAATGTACATAAATACGCGGGATGATAGGTTTATTTCTATCATTCTTGAAAAGGGAAAAATTGAAACCGAAAAATAAATATACTGATAAATCCCGTAAAACAACTTCCCTGTTCAAATAATGTTCAAACTCTGAGTCACGTGACAGGTGTGAACACATCCGTGTTCGAAAGATTGAATCTCACTCTTTGCCCCTTTTGTCTGCAATTTATTTTGTGTATTTTTGCTTAATAAATGCAAGTTTAATTCCTCCAGAGTGAGACTAATAATCAAATTACTCATAATACCCATAATGCTTTACGTCAAAAAAATTCCTGTTGGAAATATCAATCCAGCTTTATTACTTTTTTGTTTCATTTCTATCAATGCCATCAACATTTTAATTGAAATGTATTTGAGAAATTAGTTAATAATGGAAACAGGTAATAAATACGTATACGTTTACTTGACATGTGTAAATTCTTGCAGAATTTCTAATATATTTGTGGTGTTGATTGCTTCAATCTGATATGGGTTATCTATACCTTTTAAAGTTATCTTTTACATAATTTACATCTTTTTGAGTGTCTTTTAAATGGCGTCATAATTTCTTTTAATTGTCTTGCATATGTAAACGCGATGTCTAATTCTCCAATCTTTTCTTACTTATGCAGCAATTTACCTTCATCACCTGTATACAGGGTATTACTTTCAGTTGATTGGATACGCAAGAACATGCTCTACCTATGTACAATTTCTAAAGCAAGATAAATCATTGACAAACAAGTTGATGAAAAAAGAGTATCAGAAGTCTCTTTTAAAGTCATCATTTCGTAAGTTCTATTATCGATACAATAACCTTGTCAGCAAATACAATTCATCATTGAGTCAAATTCTGACTGACGTTTTCATACTAATTGTTAGTGGTTGGTAATTTCCATCCTGCGTCGATACGATATATCCTAGAGAGTTTGAGATAAAAGATATCACAGTGTCTGTCACACCTGTTTCATACTTGGATATTTTACATGAAAAAGACGTTAATGGTAATCTAACAACCAAACTGTATGATAAACGTGATGACTTTAACTTTTCTGTTATATGCAAATTCAATTATACTTATGCAGCAATATACCTTTATCACCTGCATACGGAGTGTGTCTATCTCAGTTGATTCGATATGCAAGAGGATGCTCTACGTATGAACAATTTTAAAAACGAGGTAAACAAGAATATCAGCAGTCTCGTTTAAAGTAATCATTTCGTAAGTTCTATGGTCGATACAATGACATTGTCAGCAAATACAATTTATTATTAAGTCAAAGGCTGACTGACGTTTTTCATACTAATTGTTAATCTATTATCTATACATTGAATTGAAGATGGATTTTTCTGTTATTTCCCGATCATGACAAGGAGCACACGGGTGACCGGTCAACAGGGGATTCTCACTCCTCCATGGCACCGAATCCCACCTCTGGTGTTTTGGAGGTCCGTGTTTGCTCTGCTCTGCTCCTACTTTGTAATGTTTTATGGACTTTGATAATGAATACTATTCGTTATCTCTATATCCTTCTTGAGCTTGAATAATGTTCTTTATCTTCATATTTCATTTCAAAACTTATCCAATAACAATGGTAATTTCCATTCTTATGTCGACACAATATATCTTGGTGAGCTTGAGGTAAAAGATACCAAGATTCTGACACATCTACTTCGTATTTGGAAATTTGACTTGAAAAAGACGCTAATGGTAATCTAACGACCAAACTCTATGATAAACATGATTACTTTAATTTTCTATCGTCAACTTCCCTTTCTTATGCAGCAACAATATCTTCATCACTTGCATGCGGACTATATGTATCTCAGTTGATTCAATACGCAAGGGCATGCTTAAATTCATCATTTCGTAAGTGTTATGGTCGATGCAATGCCCTGTCAGCAAATTAAAATTATCATTGAGTCAAGTGCTGACGTTCTTCATGTTAATTGTTAGTCTATTATTTATACACTGAATTGACGACGGGTTTTTCCGTCATTTCCCGATCATGACAAGGAGCACACGGCGGGGTGACCGGTTGGCAGGGGGTGCTCACTCCTTCATGGCACCTGATCCCACCTCTGATGTTTTGAAGGCCTGTGTTTGCTCGGCACCTACTGTTTTATGGATTTTGATCTTGAATACCGTTCGTTATTTCTATAATTTCACTTTTAAAAGACGGCCCTATCATAAGGCATGGATTCTGTCATGAACTAAGAGGATAAATTAAACTATTATTTGTTCGACTGCATGAATTTATATATACCCTTTTCCTTTTACAGGTCTCCTTGTCCTTAATTTGGTTTTCCTTATTTTAAATAGTAGTAAGGAAACCGACGTTCAATTCTGTACTTCAAAATTGAAAAAACAAACCTTTAAATGCTATTTGATAATTTGCAATGTCAAAAATCAAATATAATAGATGGAAAAAAACTCGCCTAAGTACTAGTAATTTACTTTGATAACCGATATTTGACATAACCGAGGAGTGAAAAATGAACATCGTGATCGATTCTTACCAATGTATTTTGTTGATTTGCCGATACTGATGAATCCATTTCTTCACGCTCACAATTTACCTAAAATCTTACACATTCTGGCCGCTTCTAACGAAATTGGGATGAGTTTTGGTCAGTTTTACCTGTGTTAGTGAAAGTTTTATAAATTTTCTTGAACAACATAAGCATGATAAGTTTTTTCCCTCGGAAATTAAATTTTAATGACGCTAAATGTACTGGAAGTGATTGCTGAGAACAATTTGTTTGCAGTGAAACAGTTTCAATATACAGGTAAAGTGGCTGACTTTTATCAATAAACTTCATTCCTTTATAACGGAAAATATTCTAATTATTCAAAATAATGTGTATTGTTTGATAACATGTAAAACCTGTCTATGAGGAAAAGAACTGTAAAACCTTTTTAAAAATATTTAATGACAAAGGCGTTTCACTTTTACGTTTTTCAAATTAATCAAGATGGAGGTAAGAGCGCTTGTTCCTAAAATTTTTTTTTTATTAATGGAATTATTTTTCAGATACTATCTGGTTTAAAAAGATATACAGGGGATATAATGTAGACCAATCTATTTCTGCATTATTGAAATGAGTTTTTTTTTTTATGAAAAATCAAAAATCATAAGATTAATTTTTGGAAACTAAAGGCTGAAACTTAATTCACGCTTGAAAACATTTTAAATTAGAGATGGTTTATTTCGATGATAGCTTTGAGAAAAATGTCCCGAATGACAGGGAAAAAGGTATCTTTTGAAAACTTTTACATTATCGTGGAAAAATATGGCCTGGAAGAAGTTTATTCCTGTAATTCGGAATGGACGAATGAGGGTGTAGACAAAGATAAAGGTATTGACAAAGATCAGCTTAAACATTAGTCTTTTTTCATTTACACGGCATTTACATGTAATATTTCAAACGGTTTGTGTTTCTTCGATTAGAAGAATAAGCTGTCACTTTCAAGCTTGAAATTGCTCTCTCTCTCTCTCTCTCTCTCTCTCTCTCTCTCTCTCTCTCTCTCTCTCTCTCTCTCTCTCTCTCTCTCTCTCTCAGAGGATACGTATTATTATTCAAGTCTTAATTCATGTATTATTTTATCTAGATCATCTGACTATGTGAGAAAACGAGGAGATATTAAATCCATGTAAATTCACGAAAAATGCATTCTCATGAACTACCAAGAAGCAAAAAAAAGTCTTCACATGATATTCATATGAAACATTTTTTTTCACATTATTTCATGCGAATTTCTTTTAGCATTATATTCGTGCCAATTTCATGTAAAATCCGCATGATATTTTTATGCAAATATCATGTGTGGTTTTTTCGTCTCCTTTTCATGCGAAGAATTCAGTTGATATTCGTGCGATTTTCATATGAAGTTCATGTGAACTACTTTTCTTTATGTACCTGTACATCAGAAGATACACTTTTCATATATTATGATACATGTATATTGTAATATACTTTTATTCTCTACAAATGTATTTCTTTGAGATTTCAGAGGAGTATTTCATGGTTAAATATGAAAGAGGAGATGAAAGCAGTGATATTTTGCCTTCTTTTGTCATACATGAGAGGTAATATGATTTTTAAAATAATATTTTAAAATTTAGCGACCAAACGCATCGTAAAAGGGATAATTAAGTTGTTTAAGAATAATTTTTTTTACATATTCAATGAATGACTTATCAAAATTCATGGGAAAAAATATTGTTTCCCATGTACATAAACGTCTATAATAGTTGTTTTCCTTCATATAAGAGAGCTTGTCTTTTAGAAACAGCCACTGTCACTGTTCTGCAATGCTGAAAAAGTTAATAATGAAATTATTCTAATAATATTCAAGAATGCAGTAATCATATCAATAAACTAGTGATCAGATTATTGAGCTTAGAACCTAAAACTGGTTCTATTTATCTGTTTTTTTTTTTTTTTTTGAGAACCTGATGTTCTAGAAAATTCGGGTGTATCTCCCTCTGTGAACAATAAAAATTACATGGTCACTAGATCTTTTACTTTACTTAGGGAGAATGTTAGGTTTGTATAGTTTTTATATTGATATAACTGAGGCCAGCATTGCGTTTGATACAGGAACTAGTACATGTATGTAACCCTTCGGCAGGGGATACTCAATCCCACATGGCACCTGATCCCACCTCTGATGATTTAGAGTCCTTGTTTGACAACCTCCTGATTTGCATTGTTTGATAGATTTTTGAGTTTGAATACTGTTCGTTATCTCCGTATATTTTACTATACATACTTGTGTTAATGAAATTTCAAAGAAAATAATTTAAAGTTAAGGCAACACAAAGTCACATTCATCTAATTATCCGAACAAGATAACATCTATATGGTACAGAGTAACGAGAATGAATTATGTTTCCTTTTCAAACCAAAACTGACTTTTTTCAGGAAAAACAACAATTTATTTACAAGAGATCAGAGAGAATGGAAAAGATAATTGAACAAATGCCGTATAGCGATTTTTCTTGGCGGTTGTAAAATTTGCCTTCATGATTGGCTTAAGTATGCCAATTTCTTTGGTGCTGGCCCTTTATATGATGTTACGGAATTATGGATATAATGGACAGTATTCAAGATCAAACAATACAAAATATGATTAGATGCATAGCAAACACGGACCTCCGAAACATCAGACGTGGGATCAGGTGACATGAAGGAGTGAACATCCCCTGCCGACCGGTCACAGGTTTAAAACTCTTTGCAGAAGAACACTTAGAAGAAAAATATTTTAGCAATTAAAATTTTTACTACTACGAAAAACGCCTAAACAAGCATCCCGCTAAAATAACCCACTATCATTAATTAACACAATCACACACGCACACTCACTTAAATTATACCAAAAATGTTATTAAAAATGAGGAATAAATCAATATGTTCAAATTTTAACAATTATCATAAACACTTGTTCTTAAACTATTGATCTAAATTCTAACCTGTTAAATATTTCCTGCAATGCCCACAAATATATCAATATAAAAAGTTCACTCCCTACATCTCTACACTATACTCCGAGCCAACGTAAATTCAGTAGGTGCTAAAATAAAAACGCTCCTTATAATCAGAAAATAATTATTTCCTTTTCATATGGCGATATTATTAAAAATTTATGCTTGGCATCAATTAATAACCATTTAGTCATGTTTTTGTTTCAATATAACATAAACATTAAGATATTTTTAATATCACCTGTTTCATAATTACGTATTTACAGTTAACATAGATACAAAATGGCGGACAATACTTCCATTCACTTACTTACGCTCATACATTTGAAAAAAAAATAAAATCCAGGAATAAAAATACAGTAAATATAGAATTAGACTGTTCTTTGAATTGTATAGAGTTCCCCGCTTGGCGCAGTTACTAGAGTTTCTGCTATGGAGTCACAGAGTAAGGAATTATACGTCTCGGATTCGAATCCCACTGTAAGACATGCAAACCGGTCCTTCGGATAAAACCGAATATAAACCGAAGTAACTTCATTTCGTATATTATATGGTCGATACAATAACCTTGTTAACAAATACAATGTATCATTGAGACAAATGCTGACTGACGTTTTTCATTCTAATTGTTAATCCATAATTTATACACTGAATTGACGACGGATTTTTCTGTTATTTCCCGATCACGACAAGGAGCACAAGCGGGTGTGACGGATCAGCAGGGGATATTCTCTCCTCCATGACACCTGATCCCACCTCTGATGTATCGGGGGTCCGTGTTTTCTCTGCTCCTATTTTGTATTGTTTTGTGGATTTCATATTGAATACTGTTTGTTATCTCCATATCTTGTAGTGGTAGGTGCTGGTACGAAAAAAGAGCCCCACTTTTCCCCGAGTGCCAAGCATAGGTCAAAATTTGAAGCTCTCCATATGAGTTAATTTTTTTAGAAGGACGTCAAACAACAAACAATCAAACAAAAAAGTATAGTTTATTCGTCGTTTTTTTTTTTTTTTTTTTTGTTGTTGTTTAACGTCCTTCTCAGAATTGTTCACTCATATTGAGACGCCTCCACTTGCCGGTGGAGAGCTGCAAATTTATTTTTTCCTATACTCAGCACTTTTGAGCAAGGATGGTCTTTTCCGTACCTGAGAACCTACTGAGACAACGGACCTCGGTTTATACGGTGTCATCCGAAGGACCGGTCTCCAAGTTCCACACTGGGATTCGAACCTGCGATGTACAGATGTAAGGATCAATTCATTACTTCCAGCTAGAAAAATATTGTTAATAAAATGTAGTTTGTGTCTCATTCAGAACACTAGCGCTTTAAGGGTAAGGAAAACAAGCAGCATCTCCTATGCCTTTCAATGAACAAAACATTTTTTCTATAAATGTGCTCGTGGTCAGGTGTTTAGGCCAGGGAATCAACTTGACAATTGTATTCACCGATAGTACAACAAAAGAACAGACGCATATCGCTTTGCAGAATGAATTTGAGAAACCTAGACTTCCACAATTTATGCAACAAATGAATTGTTTGTCATTGTGAGTATGAAAAAAATGGAACATAAAAAAAAGGTTTTCAGTTACGGTATGGATGTGCCTTTCCGATCATCATAAGATTTCCCCTTTTCAAGCGAAAATTCCTGTTGTATTCGTAGTAACCCATAATGCAATTCTCATTCATCTGATTTGTCAGTTAATATCATATTGGTGCTTCATTCTCTAATCTGACGCCAAAAAATATTGTCCCGGTTCTCATTCAAAAATATTTGTCCAAAAAGAAACAATAATTCATTACTGCTGAAAATTGTATCATAGAGAATACTTATTTAAGTATGAATAAATTCAAGTGAGATCAATTGAAGTACATTTCTACAGATATTAAAGGGTGTTGAAAACTGAAACGCAACATATCTTTTCTGTTTACCATGTCTCCACGTACTAATCTCTAGCCACATTTCCGTGAATAATTTAACCTCTCGCTGTAGTCACGCTAACTCTCGCCAGAGCCACCGCCAGAACTATTCTGAACTAACCGGGTATTATAATTTGCAGAACACCGAAAATAGAAGGTTCCGAACATATTAGTGACTTTAACTCACAAATCAGCTGAATGAGAATTGCATTATGTGTTACTATGAACACTACAGGAATTTTACGCTTGATAAATTCCTTTATTGTACTATCAGTGAATACAATTGTCAGGCGGATTCCCTGGCTAAAACACGTGATCACGAATATAGTTATGAAAAAAATGTTTTGTCCATTTACATGCATACGAGAAGCTGCTCGTTTTCCTTACCCTTGAAGTGCTGGTGTTCTGAACTTCACACTAACTACGTATACATTTTATTAAACATATTTTTTCTAGTTAACAACAAATTAAAAACGCCCGTGACATCTTTCATAGTTTCTAATCTGTTCATTTTGCACTTCATTGACATGATCATAGGTTGACCTGAAAACGTGTTCCAAGTAAAATGTGAACATGTATTGGCGTAAACGTATTCAATCAGCAATTGGTCAGCTGCTCGTGGTTAGATCCTCTGTGCGCATTAATAACAATGGCCATATAAGGCAAACAAAGGTTTGTCATTGTAGATGATATTACACATTATTTTTTTTTTATACCACCGTATAGGTCGCTAGTGAGCTCTAATTTTTGACGTAAACTATGATAAGATGTATTGTTATTTACCAACCACCCCCACCCCCATCCTTTAGCCACCCTTTTCTGTTGAAAATCACGAAAGTGTTTCAGAAAGGCCTGGAAACACAATTTTCACATGGCATGTTTTCAAAAGAAACAAACTATAGCAATTTCCTGTTTACTGCCAATTTTATTTATAAAAGCGGTTCTACCCTATAACCTTTGAATAGATAAACCAAAACCACGTGTCTTGAATTTAAATCACAATATTTCCATTTCTAATTTTTCTCTCTATGTTAACTCTTTGAAAGTTAGCGGAGTTAATTTCTTGATAATTCTACCGGAATGTAAATTAGGCAGGTCAATCGGTCAAGAGCTATAAGGAGGCCTAATATGCATGCAAATCTCGTGCACATCTGTCTCTGAGTCTGACGCTAAGGAGACCAAACATAGATTATCTGATAAATATCTGAAAATCCCGTGTGGCTGCCGTTGTGATTGACGTCAGTGGGCGAGGACTATTGAAATTGGGATGGGAATCCTCGTGTAATTTAAATCTATGTCTACATGTTTAAAGTCTAAGTCTACAATTTTATTTCACAATGAAATGGAATTATAAGGAATCACTGTCTAGTTAGTATAGTGTGCCAGGGCATCAACATTAGTGGGAAACATAGGATAATTTGCATAACGGGCAAATCCCGTGTGGCTGCCGTTGTGTTTGACGTCAGTGGGCGAGGACTATTGAAATTGGGATGGGAATCCTCGTGTAATTTAAATCTATGTCTACATGTTTAAAGTCTAAGTCTACAATTTTATTTCACAATGAAATGGAATTATAAGAAATCACTGTCTAGTTAGTATAGTGTGCCAGGGCATCAACATTAGTGGGAAACATGGGATAATTTGCATAACGGGCAAATCCCGTGTGGCTGCCGTTGTGTTTGACGTCAGTGGGCGAGGACTATTGAAATTGGGATGGGAATCCTCGTGTAATTTAAATCTATGTCTACATGTTTAAAGTCTAAGTCTACAATTTTATTTCACAATGAAATGGAATTATAAGGAATCACTGTCTAGTTAGTATAGTGTGCCAGGGCATCAACATTAGTGGGAAACATGGGATAATTTGCATAACGGGCAAAGCCCGTTATGCAAATTATCCCATGTTTCCCACTATTGTTGATGCCCCTGGCATACTATACTAACTAGACAGTGATTCCTTAAATTACTATAGTAGGGGTGATATTAAATCACATGCTGAGGATGGAGTGTTTTTTAAGTGATGTAAAGTAGCATCCAGTTGTTAATTTATTAGAAATGTTTTATTGTTCATGTTAATTCATTATCTTATCATTTACTTGAATTATTGATGCAATACACATTGCACTTCGACATTGTAATGTAAACAAATGCTGTTTTTGTGTTACTAGACAATCTACTGATATATTGTTGAACAGACAGTAAGGTACAGTGATACTAAGATGTTACATGTCAGTTTTTCATCATTATCTACCATATTACGACTGTAATATACTTACTTATTTCAGCATCATCACATGTGTTGAAAATTGGGCGCCTGTCATCTTTCTTACGGAGATAGTAGTCATGTGTATGGCACGCCAAATTCACAAAAATGAGATAATCATAGTTTCACAATTGATAAACTAGGTTTATCGACTGTAAACTATAGTTTACAAACCGTAAACTATAGTTAACGAGTTAAGTATAGTTTTCATCTGTAAAACTATATTTAACGGTTGTTAACTATTATTTACGAATGTTAATTTAAGTTTATCTGTCTGTAATAAAGCGTTAACAATAGATTTTGTTGATAAACATAGATTCACGTTTGTAAACTATAGTTTACAATCGTAAACTATAGTTAAGAGTTGTTAATCATAGTTTCACAAATTATTTATCAGATCGTGAACTATAGTTAACGGTTTGTAAACTATAGTTTACAAATCCTGAAACTGTATTTATCAGATAATCTATGTTTTGCAATCGCAAATGATAGTTTTCGGTGTTAAGTATAGTTTACGGTTGTGAAACATAGATTATCGCGTTAACTATAGTTTACAGATGAAAAATATAGATTAACGTTGTTAACTATAGTTTACAGTCCGTAAACTATAGTTTACAACCGATAAACCTAGTTTATCGACTGTGAAACTATATTTTACTCATTTTTGTGAATTTGGCGTGCCATACATGTGACATAAACATTCATTGTCGTTTTACAATTGAGAAGACCGAAATAACACTGTCCGTGTCCTCAAATGCTTATAATTGAGAGTTAAATGTTATTTTCTTGCAGTATTGTCATTTAATTATGTTTTATTTGACGAAAAGTTTTGGAACTTGAATATGTAGCGTAATACTTATGTGTGCGCTTTATTGTCCGGTATTACTACGCCGTGGATTTTGTGTGTTCGTTTTATTAAAGATTGTTTATTGAACTTATTTTATTATGTATATCGAATAGAATTTATAGCTCCCACCTTACATGTAGAAAGGACATTCTTGGCGATGTCATTTTCTTTGTATTACACAACAGCCTCAGGTATGTAAAGTAGTTCTAGGGGGCTCCAGAAAGGACAATTATTCATTGGTTTGTTGTGATCACGTGACCATTATAGAAGGTTATATATATACTAGCAGCAAACGTCAGTATCATCATAACAATCATCAGATCATAATACGTCATCAACATCACTGACTGTATATAAGCTGTAAATTACTAGCGACTTAGGTATGAGAAAATAACGTAAACTTTAATACAAATTATGTAGCGTATAATTTCTCCACCACACGGACACCGTAATTAGGCCAGAGATGTTAGATTTATTAAAACTTATTATACCTACGAAACGAAATGAGCATTATCTACACTACAGCTAGGACTTATACTCATAGATGTACTGACTGTTTTGTTATATTTCATTGAAGTCTTTATTAAATGAAATATTTGAAGTGAGATATGGAACTTAGTTACGATTTACAAGGATGTGAAGTAAATTATCAAGGGTGTTTAAATACCTGCGACGGGGCTGAGGATGCCCTCCCCCCTTTTATATGTGGACGGATGTCTTGAGTAGTCCTGATAAAAACTAATTAACTGAATTTACATGGGATGGATCATAGTAAGCTGTTTGGCATTTGACAGGGTGCTGAGGAAGCTTACAGTATATTAAGCATGACTAGGAATACTGCAAAATATAATCACTACCTAGGGTCCGTTTTTCCTGCAGAACTATGCTAATCTGTGCTGTACGTTTCAGGCACATGCTGGTGCAAAAATTAATAATATTTGATTTAAGGAATCACTGTCTAGTTAGTATAGTATGTCAGGGCATCAACGATGGTGGGAAACATGGGATAATTTGCATAACGGGCGATGCCCGTTTTGCATAAATTATCCCATGTTACCACTATCGTTGATGTCCATGGCATACTATACTAACTAGACAGTGATTCCTTATATTTCCATTTCATTGTGAAATAAAATTGTAGATTTAAAACTTTAAAAATGTAGACGTAGACTTGAATTACACGAGGACTTCCATGCCAATTTCAATAGTCCTCGCCCACTGACGTCAAATACATAGGCAGCCGCACGAGATTTACATGCATATTTTGCCTCCTTAGCGTCAGACACAGAGACAGATGAGCACGAGATTTGCATGCATATGAGACCTCCTTAGCTCCTGACTTATCAACCTGCCTAATTTACATTCCGGCAGAATTATCAAGAAATAAACTCCGACAACTTTCAAAGAGTTGTCACAGAGAAAAAAATTATAAGTGGAAATATTGTCCCATTAAACTGTGTCTTGAAAACTGGAAAGTTCTGCCGGGATTAATCTATTAGCTTTTGTTATCTTTCGGCTGAAATTGTTTGCAAATAAATCGGGGTGCTAATAAAGAGCTTTTTGAAGGACGAAACTGCAAAAAATAGAAGGGGTACGCAAAGGATTAAACTTGTGATTGTTACAAACAGCATATAAAAAATATAAACTGGCGGTAGATTGCACGCTCATGTGGACTGGGAGACATACTTTTAATCGCCATGGTGTCGAATAAAAATGATAAATATAACAACTTATATATTATTTGTATTACAAAAATTGAAATGCTTTTGTCTTAACGCATTTTTCTCTTTACCCTGCAGCTTCCGAAATCATCGAAATTTTGACACAGGATGATATGCAATATGTTAAGCTTAGTACGCATTGCATCACTGCAGCAGAAAGATCATTTTTCACTTTTGAAGTCAAGGCCATACATAATGCTCACTTTGCCTTAATGAGTGCGGATGACGACAACGAGCCTCTGTATGAAATCGTTCTTGGCGGATGGGAAAATTCGATATCGTGTATTAGATTAAAGAAGCAAGGTATATGCTACGGTACAGAACTAGACCAAGTTTTACAGGAAAGCAGCTTTAAGACATTTTGGGTGTATTGGCTGAATGGTAACATCACCGTTGGTTTAGGAAATACACATGATGGAAATATATTTATGAATTATTTTCATTCTACTCCGTATCCCGTGAAGTACTTCGCTGTAATGACCGGCTTTGGTTCAACAGGACACTGGAAATTTAAAAACGGTAAGCTATTAAATAAATGTATTCTTATAAAACCACGAGAAATCAAATCCAAAATGGATTTATGATAAAGTAAATGATAAAATTAATAATGATAAAGAAAAATTTAATTTTATAAATTAGAGATATTTTTTTTTCAAGAAATTTAAAAATTTTTATTGCAAAGATGTCCGATGCAATTTTGAGGTCTTTAACAATACCAAAGTTGTCGAGAACAACACAAATTGCCATGGATCCATGAAGTATGAGTGTCACAGAGGGTTCTATCTTTACAGTGGAAATTTAAAACGTACCTGTTTAAACAACAGGACATGGTCGAGAGAACCCCCTTACTGTAAACGTGAGAATGTCGTTTTCTTTTACCTAAATTATATAGATAAGAACGAGTTCTTTCTCACATGGGTTGGTCCCTGGGAAGATCTGAGAATATATTTATTTATCAAACACAACCAACAAATCTATTTTAACATACCCCATTTAACCGGTATTTTAATCCTAATAGAGTGATATGATAAATTAACTTAATTTGTGTTCTAGGCATTTTGTGTCCACAGCTTACGTCGACAACCTCTTATAAAATTCAACACCAGGACACCTATGTTGGGGGAAATGTCACTGTCGCGTGTTCTAATAACTTTCGCCATTTCTCGGGTAACCTGACCAGGAAGTGTGCATTAAGTGGATTATGGGAAGGCGAGGAACCTGTGTGCTTACGTAAGTGTGAGACAGGAGTTTGTGGTATACTTGTATTTAAAAATATGCTTAAGCATAAATATACTAAAAATTACCTCTTGCTATAGATTATTACACCTGGATACAGATGACTCCTTTAACTGATTTGCCCTAAATCCAGGGGAGGAGAAGGGGCTGTATTAAATTCAGGCTTCCACATCAAGTCACCCCTAAATATTCGCATTCCCATCTGTTAGTACTGCAACTACACTGTCCTTGAAAATTTGAAGAATTATAGTTTTCTAAAATGAGTAGATAATTTCACCCAAATTTGAGTTAGTACAGCAGGGATGGATAAGTTGGATTTTGCAGACCAGGAATGGGCAAAAATTCTTCAAAACTATTTCACGTTCTATCAATAAAATTCTTCAAGATCATATGCATATTACAAAAGCAATAGTCATGGGAGTTAATTATCTAACATATTCCTCGCCTGCGTGTCGCAGTGGTTTGAGCGTTCGCTCTGCTCAAGGAGTTGATCCTTACGTCACGGGTTCGAATCCCTCTATGGGACACGGACACGGGTCCTTCAGATGAGACTGTATAGACTGAGGTCCTGTGTAACAGTTGATGCCAGTACAAAAAAGACTGCTCAATGACCTAAGTGCCAAGTATCGGACAATAATTTACAGCTGTCCATCTGCAAGTGGTGGCGTTTTCATATGAGTGAAAAACTCTCGAATGGAAAGTTAAAATTAATCAATCGAACATATTCACACATAGAATTTTAGTTTAGTTCAATTTCTGGGCAAATCCATGATTCTGGATCTACACAATGCATTTCAGTTTAGATATACGCGGCTGACAGGGAAAATTTGTCACATGATTATATATATAGCAAATACAAATGATCTACGGCGACATTACACCACTTACGACAAAGATTAGAATGACGCCGTACAAAATTAAAAAAAACTAGAGGAACTTTGAGCAACGAGCTCACTAAATGATACCCCCGCCTCCATATAATTATAATGACAAAGTTCCTGTTTTGATCTTGGAGACCCGAAATAAGAGTCAGATCGAAAAGAAAATAGGAGGTGCACAATGGCATTATGTATTAAAAAGTATGTGAAAGTATCATTAAAGCAATATGCGCTGTAACTTTGATGTCAGAATTTTTTGTTGCAAAATTGCGAATAACTATTTCAATGACAAAAAATAATGTTAATAGACGTCTGTTGTTCATATTTGTGATTAAGGAATTATTTATAAGCTTCGATTGAATCAAAATCACATTATTGTCGTCCTGTACAATAATGATTTTTTTTTATATAAAACTGTATATTGGATTGTATATAGAAGTCTTTCTTCTGCTTTATTTTAGTCTAATTGATCATAAAGGTTTAAGTTACATACAAATTTATCATAATAACACATTTTAACAGCAAAATAAAATTTTCAAAAATGCAGCTCATATTGCTTTAAGTTTTATTCAGCGATATAGGAAGAGTTGCAGATAAGATAGGTACCCTTTAATATTATAGAAAAAATGACAGTGTCAGTGTTTCCTCTGGAAAGCCTAAAATATGTGTCGGACCAAAATGTAAATCAGGAGGTGCACAATGGCACTATATAAAGTCTCATAAAATTTCATTCAGTGGTAAAAGAGGAATTGCAGATAAGAGATAGGTACCCCAAAGCGTAACAGACGGACATCCCGATTACTATATACCCTCCTGCTTTTTAAGCGGAGGATATAATAAAAGAAAAGTTTATTATAGTTTAAAAGCGGGAGGATATATAATAATCGGTATGTCTGTCCGTCTGTTTGTCTGCCTAGATGAGTGTCTGTCCGTTCGTCTGTTAGGCTTTGGGGTACACATCTCTTATTCGCAACTCCTCTCATACAAATGAATGAAATTTGATGAAACTTTCACATATTATTTGTTACATATTGCCATTGTGCACCTTCTATTTTACTTTTTAATCCGACACATATTATGGGTTTTCCATGGCAAAACATTGATACTGTCATTATATTCATATGGGAGGCAAGGGTATCATTATTTTGTTGAGCTCATTGCTCACAGTACTGTAGTTATTATTATTTGTTTTTGTTTTTTATTTTCAGTTTTCCTTTCTATGAGAAATGTTCAAGAAAATTAAATGCACTCATTAATACACTGCATACTTTGTACATACCAAAGCATTCTTATTTGTTTTCAATAGGTTGTAAATGCCCTTGTTCATTGACTGGTCAGCAGAAGTTCAATTCATCAACAGGACTGGAACAAAGGATTGAACAACGAAAAAAAGAACTAACGATCCTTAAGAACTCCACAAATTCTTTTTATCGAAAGAAGATCTCTGCTTCAGACAATCGGCCTTCATCCGCTGGACTTGGATATTTGTTTGGTTGTGGTGTTATTCTTTTCATTATCTTATCTTTGGTGATTTCAGATATGCCGAAATTTTACAGACATGTTCGATTTGGAGCAGATTGAAACTTTTTAAAACCGTTTTTATAAACACCATATTCGAAACATTACTTACATTTATATTTTATAATGTTTCAAATCTAATTAAAAAAGAAAATGATTTTAATTAAGATGTATACTGTAATTGCCCTTAAAATCGTTTACCTGCGTGGATACAAGCGGAAAATCTTATAATATATCTATTTTGATTTTTAGATTAAAGAATTGAAGGAAAAAGAAAATTCAAAGTATCGGGTACTGTGCCCTTCTGCCACTTTATTGTCTAAGTGGTTGTAATGCAATCATTTATGCCATGTTATTACAGCCTTATTTTGTATGTCCAGTGTCTTGTCTTTTCATCATAAAACTCCTAGTTTAAGATGGTGCCATTGGATGACTTTACATGTACATAGATAAATTACATGCGAATGGATAACGTACATTTAACATAAATATGACCAAGTTTAAAGGAATGTGAAAATAATTTTTGGCTGAAGGAAAGAGAAAAAAAGAGAAAGGGCTTCAATATTTGACATATAGCTTATTTTGACAACACATTTCAGACAGAATAATCATACAGTGTGTATTTGATTTCATAAAGAACTCAGTTTACTTCATGCATAAAACAGCCCTGTAGATATACAAATTTATTTACCATCACTTCCATATTAAACATTAAAATAAAGTAGAGACTTGGTACTTTCATTTCCTATTAGATATTTTCTTCTTAAACTCGACGCCTTGGAACACATACTTTTATGAAATTGCAATGTTCTTGAATTTTAATGTAAACACGTATATTTGAATAGATCAGAGAATAAAAATAGTATAAGCGCACCCTCTAACATAAAAATAAAACATGTCTTGTTACCCTCAGAAACAGATCTATCATTCACTAGTTGCTTATTTTGATCAGAGGTTGCGTTCTATATTAAATATTGAAAAATAGCTTTAAGGCCCTTTCACAATTGGCGCACGATCAGAAGCGACAAAATATTCGTGCGACCGAATAATTTTGGTTAGGATCGTAAACTGTTGCCAAAACAATCGCATATGAAAAAAGTGTTCGTACGAAATTTGCACGATCCAAAGCGATTTTTTTGTGCATTAAATCTTGCGATATATCTTCAAATATATGCGACTGTTGTAGAATGAATGCGAGTGTTGTAAGATAATGCGATAGGATTGCATGATCGTTCAGGAAATCGGACGATTGAACGTGCGACAATACGATTGAACGTGCGGTGCTCGTGCGCTCATGCATTCCATAGTACGAATGTTCGTGTGAGTCAGAGGGCCGGGTATACCACCCGTTTCCGACGCTCTTTAATTGACATAGTTTAAGATGCTTATAATTATACACGGTATATATACCTGTTGCAAAGCATGGCAATTGAAGGTGATAAATCAAGCAATGATAGTAAAACGTTGCAAGATTACATGAGACATGTTGAGCAACAGTCTCATGGTCGCAAAACACACGCAAAGACAGCTGCGATTCATCTTACGATCTTAAAAAATTGATCACAATTAATATACATAAAACGTTGTAAGACCTTCGTACTAATTTAAAATCGTTGAATTGCGATATATTTTGATCGCATTTGGTCGCGTCTGACATAGTGTGCATGTTGACTATTTTGAGGAGACTTGATGCGACCACTAATTTGTAAACACATGCAATGAATGCGAGACATCGTGCAACATAAGCGATAGCTCGTTGAAAATAATAAAGCTAAAATTTTCCGATCGCAAAGTGTTGTAAAGTGCTCGTGCGCCAGTTGTGAAAGGGCCTTTAAAAATTAACTGTTTTTGTAGACTTTTCAGAATATGAGGAAATTGACGCATTTTGTGACGTCATAATGCATTGACTAGCAAGAAATACTTGATATCGCGATTTATTATATACCTAATGTGTATCACCCAATTTTACTGTTGAATTTACGCTATCACGTGACGTCGTGATCCGATTTTCCGGATCACCAACATGTTGTTTTCTGAATCCATATCACCACTCTCTGAAACTGATGACGTGGTACGCAGAAATATGACGTTATTTTTTTGCGCTTTAAAAAGTCCCTTGTTATTATGCTTTGTTTTATGGATAAATGTTGTGCAATTGATCTCTAAAGCTTTCTTTTGCTATATTTTGCTAGTTATGAGGGGGTATATAATAAATTTATCATTATAACAGTAACCTGATCCGAAGAGCCGTATCACGTCTCGTTGAAAGGCGCGGATCATCAGATCAAACTCGACGCTTCGCGTCTCGTTAGATCTTTGATGATCCGCGCCTGTTTTTATACGACCCTTCGGATCAAGTTACTGTTATAATAATATATATTACTTAACTTAGCGGAACTCTTTCGCGATGGAGGTAGGAAACGTCTGTTTGGTGGGGGCAAATGTGCTATTGTATACAATGCAAGATCGATCATTGTAGAATTTTAAGGATAGATAAGTAAAAAATCCTGGTGGAATACCTTTCTAAACAATTGCTGAACTAGCCTAATAAATTTTTGAGAGAAGCCAATCCTAAATTGTTACATTTTTAACGATAATTTTAACTAAGCGGACTCTTCTCGTTAAATTTTCATTGCAAATCGACATTTTAAAGCAGATAAAATATTCTAAACTTTTCTTATTTGACAATCTACTATTTGGAGTTCTATATCTGGCAAAACATTGTGCTTTCGGCATTAAATTGTTCAAATTATTCGATTGTCACTACTGTAAACAATGTCATATGCCCCAGAAATTTAGACCTTTCTCGATTTCCGCAAAAGAGCGGTAGTAAGTTAGATAACTGCGAGATACTCATTGGTATTCGCGATATTACGTATTATGTCATATTTGACTGATATGCAAGCACCAAAGTCTTAATGCTATTTGATGCATTGTTAAATAAAATTAAAAAGTTTCAGTTTTTCGGAAATTCATAGGGCCAAAAAGGTCAGAAGTGAACCTTGTTCTTTGACTCAGAAGTTTCATCAATAAATTTTAAAGATTCTGCCTTGTTAAACATCCAAAACGACATCGTAAAATAAAGATCAAGAGTTAAATCAAATATTATGATACACTCAGATCATAGTGATGACTGCAAGTTAATAGTTTGATGAATGGATCAAAAATAAAACTGCTTTTTCAGATTCTATGATGTTTTTTTTATTTCAAGCTCACCTGGATTTATTGATTTGGCATATGAATGGAAGTAACTATGATATTTCTTCGTCGATAAATATGTCGAGTTAGAAACCAAACAAGTGCTTTCTTCACATGTATGTTTTTGATTACATTCTGCTTCATAGGAATATAAAGATAGGCCGGCTTATATGGACAATTAGTGACCAATGGAACTCCAAAGGGTTTTTTTTTTGTCCAAAGACTTCATAAATATTTAAAGTATCCCTTTTATCATCAACTTCAGAGTTCCCGTGTGAAGAATCTGAGGACTATCGTGATCTGACCTATTTTCGATCGCCATTTCTAGGAGTCCCAAGATTAAGCAATCTACACAAATTTTAGTAGGAAAGTTCTCATAAAGTCTAGTGCTCATCATGCAACAATTTATTTTTATCATATAATAATTAATTATATAAGTACTAATGTATGGCATTTGGTAATAAATTTTGGATTGCAACAAATTGATCGTCTTTTAACATACGCAGATTACTAAAATTTGATAAATTGGGTGAACAGATAACTATTCTAATCAGAGTTTAATGGCTTAGTAAATCGATGCAAGATCTAAATACTTTATGATATATAACTTGCCTATTTCCAGGAATTCTACTTAAATGGTACAGTGTAGCTTTGATTTCACATATCTATCCAGAACAGCATATTTATGCACACATTCGTAGACAATAGAATTTCCTTATTGAGTTTATCAAACACTTTAACTTTTAAAAAAAAGGTTGTGATGTTGAGATTTAAATTTTCATATAATTGTACAGGGTAGAGTTTTTTTTAATATGACAATTGCATGTATTGATTATCAATATTAATTAGATAGAAGAAAAGGCCGGAAAAGGTCATTTTTAGAGATATCTGCAGTACTTTCGATTAGCTAAATAATATGTATTAAATTCGAATTTTGTTCCTTATTCAGATAGATTATTTTTTAACATCCATTTATCATTTAAAATTAATGAGATTCAATGAAAAAAAAACTGAGCAGTTTCTGTCTTTTGTTAGATGAAAGTTAATCTAACCGTTTAGGTCTATCAATATATGTCACATTAACATAACCAAGCTTTTTTATGAACTTGATTACATTAAACATGATGAATTTAAATTTTGAATCGTCGACTTCCCTTATAAATGCAGCAATATATATAACGGGTTTATATCTCTCGGCTGCAGGGGATTCTCTGCGTATTTAAAACGAGGTAAGTTATCGAAAAACAAGTTGATGAAACAAGAACATCAGCAATCTCCTTAAAAGTCATCATTTTGTAAGTTATATTGTCGATATAATGACCTTTTTCAGCAGATACAATTAATCGTTAAGTTAAATGCTGACTTACGTTTTTCATACTATTTGTTAGGCCATTATTTGGACATTGAATTGATATATCCGTAATTTCCCGATCATGACACGGATGATTCCATCTCTGACATTTTAGAGGTCTGTGATTACTCTGCTCCTGTTTTGTACTGTTTAATGGATTTTTGAGCTTGTATAATATTCCTTATCTCCATATATTTCGAATTTTGAACTCCGACCAGACATGTATATTTTCTTTTATGTATTAAAAAACTCATATTTTCCAAATGAGTGCATGACCAAGATGCAGATTTTTTTTGCCAGCAAACCGTATGACTTTTCTGAAACAAATTTGCTTGGGTTACTGATTGACAATATCTATCTTGTTCTTTAAAGAATCTATTGAATTTCCCATGGGTACTAATTGTGCCCAGTTATTAGCAGACATATTTGTATACATATGAAACATTTAGATATATTGACTACGTATTGTCAATTAACAATTGTAATTTCCATTCTTAAGTCGATACGATATATCCTGGTGAGCTTGAGATAAAAGATACCACAGAGTCTGACACATCTGTTTCATATTTGAATATCTTACATACAAGAGATGTTAATGGTAATATAACAACCAAGCTCTATGATAAACAGTATGACTTTAACTTTTCTATCGTCAACTTCCCATACTTATATTCAGGAATATACCTTCATTACCTGCATACGGAGTTTATGTATCTCAGTTGATTTGATACGAAAGAGCATGCTCTACGTATGAACAATTTCTAAAATGAGGTAAATTACTGACAAACAAGTTGATGAATCAAAAATATCAGCAGCCTCGTTTAAAATCATCATTTCGTAAGTTCTATGGTTGATACAATAGCCTTGTCAGCAAATACAATTTATCATTAAGTAAAATGTTGACTGACTTCTTCATACAAATATGAATGTTACATCCATGGATGCATACAGACTTTGTATCTGGTCTGCATTTTTGAATGAGAAACCAGGCAAGGATTTGTTTTCTAATTAAGTATATTCCCAAGTAACTCAAGTTTTACCTGGACCCAAAAATTGATGCATCTAAGAATCTAGAATATTTCTTAATTAAAACACAGCTCTGCTCTGTAAATTTTGAATACATGCGTTTTATAGGATTAAACATGTCAGAAAACAAACTCTATTTAATAGATAATTCATGTAAATATTTGGTTACATGTTATATTTCAGTCAAAATAGAGTTATTTATTACTACATGTTTAACTTTTCAAAGCTGGTTTAAATGACGGTTAAAACGGTTTTAGCTAATATTTTTAAAATTCATAAATTTTCCTCTTGCCTATCAGAATAAGTAAAATAATATATTAAATAACCCTGAAATATCATTTAGAATCCAGGGGGAAGGTGATATAAAGCCGATATCATCGATCTTTGAAAATCGATGTCATTTTTTCCATTCTCGAGCTTTACACAAGTAGAGAACGGGCATGTTCTATATAAGACAAAAGTACATAAATATAACCAGACTGGTCTATATCCAATCAATCATCACAAGCAATAAATGCAACAGACCATATAAATGAATTTAAATCACGGCAGTTGCAGTAGCTTAAGGTATATGCCATCAATTCCTCTAGGAGATAGAGCGGCGTTCCAGACCATCTGAAGTCGACCAAAAGGATTCATCACAGATACAGCATAATAGTTTTATGATGTATTTCTTATTACTTGGTTTATGACTGGATTAAAAATAAAGGTATGTAAAAGGAGATGAAAGTTGAACTTAGGAAGATAAATACTCATTTAACCTACATGTACATGTATTCTACGATAAACAGGTTTCCTTTCCCGTAATCATTGTCTAAAGTTTGACGTTTAGTGTCAGAAAGGAAATTTGAAAAATAAGGTTAAATAAAGCATTGATACGCTTTAATTTTAATTGTTTAATGGTTGTATAAATAGTTGAACAGTTATAAGTTTTGAAGATATGAACATTTTAATTCAAAATTTTCCTAAAGCTTATTGGGATTTTTAGACATCCATATCTGTTTCACATCGCTTCTCGAATATATTGCTGCACAGTGCTCCTGAAGCTTGTCCTTTATTGTTGTTAATATTTTTTGTGAGGAGTGAAGAAGGCGCCTTGCTTCATCGTTTATTAGACTCCGTTCGTGTCTTTGTTTCCAAGGTTCTTTCAGAATTTTCGGAAATCAGTTTAGGCATAGTTGTCAGTGAACATTGAAAATATATTCTAAACTGACTTAAGATTTCGAAGAATTTCCGCCTTAGAAAGAGAGTTATATGTATAATTGGATTACCAATTGTACTCGTAGAATTAAATCACAGTTTCTATAAAATACAATTAAAACAATGAGCTTTGTAAATATACAGTCGATGTTGTTACCAGTTTTGTCAGTTATAACAAGTTTACTGACGTGAAATCAAAGGGTCATTTAGTCAAAATTCGATTTATCTATCCCATATACTACGTAAATAGTAAAAAGTTCTTGTAAGCTATATTGAAAGCCAAAGTATTTATACCATGATGCATATACTAGTATCCTGATAATTCTTTGAGAAATAGACATCTCTGCTTTGCAACAACATGATCTTTTCCCACAATTTCTCTTGTTTTGAAGAACATCCTCAACAGAAAAGTATTTAACAAATGACTACCCTCGGGCAATCCATCATTGATAGATTTACTTCTGGATATGAAAATGATGAATCATACGATATTCACCCTCTGTTTGATTAAAACTTAGATAGATCTAAAAAGTAAAACTTGCAAAGGTCTGACCATGCAAGGACCCATACTACAATTCCACCAAAACAGATCTCCATCCATAACTTCTTGCTGATAACATCTGGTAATTATTTTGTTGTTTGAAGTTAAAAATAATTCTAATTTCTACTGTATATGTATACCCTGTGCTCAAACCGTAACTAAATCCATTACATAAAAAGTTTGTCTCTTCGAAGTCACATCTCAAAATGAAGTGATGTTATCTACTGCGATGTATTGGTGTTGTACCATTTCTTTGGATAAGTTGCCTATGAAAATTATGTAATACAATTTTTTATGATAAAAGTAGATTATGAAATTGATTTAATTTTCCTAAGCCAAGACCCACGGGTTTCAGACAGTCATTTTACTCTTAAATGTATTGAAAACGATGTTTCAGTGAAAAGTAAGGTGAGGATGTTTTACAAAGAGATAATGCTTTATTGTCTTTATTGTTCGAAAATTCAAGTTTTCAAGCCTTTGGATGTAAGAGGGATATTAATACTTTCAGTCTTATTGGATATTCAGACGATTGATAGGCCTTTAAAAGAAAACATTCGGGGCATTTTTGCAAAAAATTTTTAGAACATTAAACAAAAATTAACTTTAAATGTACCGTTTATAAGTTTCACCTTTCGATGTAAATTTTTAGTGAAGTACTTTATTTTGTTATTTCTTTACATCTAACTCAATTTTACTTTTATGCAGGTTGTCTACGATGATGAATGTTGAAATATCCCGATTTGTGATGTTTGTCCTTCTACCACGAATCAGAGGTAAGATAATTATATTGTCTCAATAAGGCAAGTTACTACTAAAATATAAACATTTTCTGCTATAGCAATTGTATTTTTCTATATTCTTTTCATTGTTTTCTGACTTGTTTTCAATGCAGGTAATAGTTAAACAGATATAAATGTATATATTCTTTTCTCGTCATTCAAGCTGTGGACATTGAGGTCTCGACGGCGGATAACAGGCAATATGTGAAGCTGAGTACGTATTGCATTATTGCTGCAGGAAGATCATTCTACACATTTAAGGTCAAGGCAAAGAACGATGCACATTTTGCCTTAATGAGCGATGACGACGACACGCGTCCTTTGTATGAGATTGTTATTGGAGGCTGGAACAACAGAAAATCATGTATTCGAACAGGGAAACAGCTTCCATGCCTCAGTACCTATAGTCAAACCGTACTCAGTCAAGCTGCCTATAGGTCATTCTGGGTGACTTGGATTGGAGGAAACATCGTAGTTGGTGAAGGAGATACCATTAACGTGAACGGAATCATGAGCTACCACCATTCAAGCCCGTATCCTATAAATTTCTTTGCAGTTATGACTGGATGGGGTGCTAGTGGACACTGGAAATTCAATAATGGTATAAAAAAAAAATATAATAGTCATAAATAAACGAATTATTAAATGATTTTTTTTTAAAAAATCTTTTTAAAAAGAATGTTCTGCTTAAGGTCATGCGCAACATAGTTTGAACATTATTGAGTTCTTCCCTGGAGTTGAAGAGTTCCACTAAATGAAGGTCCTGTGTGTAATACTTTTAATGTCTGAATATGGATTTGTACACCTTTTCTAAAACAAATTTTCATGAAAAAAATCTGGAATATATATTTTGTATTTTTTGTATATTTTTCTTTGAATAATGCAAAACTTTTCATTATTTAATATCTGTTCAAAATCCCTGGTAACGCAAGCTGATTTTTTGTCTAAGAACATGTATTGGTAGTATGACTTTAGAGTTAGGATATCTTGAAAAATTATCAGTAGGTAAGGTAGCTGCAGATCTGTAGCGTTATGGTTTTATATATTTGTCTTTAACCATAACGCTACGGATCCCGAAGTGCAAAAAAGGTGCAATTTACTTCGCAATATTTTTTGCGCTCTTTTGGGGAGAATTTCTCCACTTTGTAGCATTGGTCAATCAACTACCTTTCACTCCCTAATTCTAGACACATTCTGTATCCAATATGTATAATTTATCCACCTCCCAACCATTTATAGTTGTCTCTACAGGCAATAAACTCGCTTAAAGTGAATTTTCTACGAAAGACGGATAGGGCCATATAGAAAAATATTTTTATCTCGTAATTACGAGATAATTATCTCATTATTACGAGAAAAGATCTCGTTATTACGAGATAATTATCTCGTTATTACGAGAAAAGATCTCGTAATTACGAGTTCATTATCTCGTAATAACGAGAAAAGATCTCGTTATTACGAGATAATTATCTCGTTATTACGAGAAAAGATCTCGTAATAACGAGAAAAGATCTCGTTATAACGAGTTAATTATCTCGTAATTACGAGAAAAGATTTCGTTATTACGAGTTAATCATCTCGTTATTACGAGAAAAGATCTCGTAATAACGAGAAAAGATCTCGTTATTACGAGACCTTAGAAAAAGCATATCGACCTCGCACTTCGTGCTCGGTCGATATGCTTTCTCTAAGGTCTATAGATAATTAACTCGTAATTACGAGATAATTAACTCGTAATAACGAGATCTTTTCTCGTAATAACGAGATCATTAACTCGTAATAACGAGATCTTTTCTCGTAATTACGAGATAATTAACTCGTAATAACGAGATCTTTTCTCGTTATTACGAGATCTGTTCTCGTAATAACGAGATAATTAACTCGTAATAACGAGATTTTTTCTCGTTATAACGAGATCTTTTCTCGTAATTACGAGATAAAAATATTTTTTATGTGGCCCTATTCGTCTTTAACTCGTAATAACGAGATCTTTGTTCGTAATTACGAGATAAAAATATTTTTGTTATGTGGCCCTATTCGTCTTTCGTAATTTTCAGTAATCTAACAAATAATTTTAATCAGGCGAGTTTATCCCTTGTACAGACAACTACGAGGGCTGTTCAATAAATAATGTCCTGAACTATATGACATACATTACAGATATCGTATGACATTAAACTTGACTTTCTCTCATTATTGAATCTTTCGTGAATTTATAACAGTTTATGTGACCACTTTTCATCACATAGTTTCATCATAAGAAGCTGGGAAACAAGGGCTTTTCGAGACACTGCATTATAAATGAATGGTAAAGAATCAGTAAACAAGAGTGAAAATAAAAGCTTCATTAAAGCTGCCGTAAAACTTGTAAAAAAATCCCAAAGAAATATTAACTGAAATATGTGACATTTAGAGCAACAAATGCCTGTTTTATAGACAAAAGAGCAGTTGGATTTCAATGATAAAAAATTATATAATGGGCATCAAAAATGGGTACCCTCCTTGCCAACAAAAATTATAACAACTCATGTACTGTTCGCTAAATTTCAACAAATAATATTTGATGCTGTATGATTGACTTTAAGACACATAGCAAATTTGATAAACATCACATCGGGGGTAGTTTACACTGTATTTAAGAAACTTTTGGCGGTAAAAAAGCTTGATACTCAAAGGTCACCCTATATTTTGAAAAATGAGTGAAAATGACAGCGTGTACGAAAGTCTTAACAATTATTTTAAAATATCAGTAATTGTAGTTATCCACGTTTGTTTTATTTTCAAACAGATATTGGAACATGAATCTATCGCTTAAAACCCTTAAAACAAAATTTACCATAAGATGTACTTGATAAAAACGGCGAATGTCTGAAAAGTGCACAGGTATGCAAGACCACAAAGACAGATTTATATGCAATTTTCTTAAACATTAGTGGTAATGTTGTTCAAAATCGTATTCGGAGAGACAGTTTAATTTCTGGAGGAATCTAGAAAGCACTTTTTTGGCCAAAAAATCAAAAGGTTTATTAGAGGAAGGACCCAGAATCAGGAATCCAGTACATTGAATTTCTTCAAGACAGCGTCCAAACCCGCATGCCCTGAAGAGTAAAGGGGTTTTCGGGATAAACAGAAAGTTAATGTTTTTTCACATTAACAATTTTTGCAAGATCTTTGACCTCTTGACTTGTTTCAATTTCCAAACTTGGAAAAAACACCTTTTAGAAGGAAGAAACAAGTCCGGGAAATCATTGGATCTGCCATTTTCCAGTATACTGAGGGACATACCTAAATATGAGTTCTACAAACGATCAGAAATTGGATAAAAAATGCTACGGACATGTATTTTACTTAAAAGAGATTAAATAATAAAATCATGAAGAATAAATAATTGAAAATCATCTTTTACTTCTTTCTGAGCACCGAGGACATTATTTATTGAACAGTCCTCGTATAAAGGGTTGGGAGATGGATAAAATATACAGATTAGTTCAATAATGTATCTAGAATTAGATAGTGAAAGGTAGTTGATTGACCTCTTCTGGAAAGTGGAGAAATTCTCCTCAAAAGAGCGCAAAAAATATTGCGCCGTAAATTGCACCTTTTTTGCACTACGGGATCTGTAGCGTTATGGTCAAAGACAAATATATAAAACCATAACGCTACAGGTCTGCAGCTATAGGTAAGGTACCTTGCGTATGTCCTTAAAGTCCTGTGGAAATGTAATATCAAACTAAAAATGTGAATACAACTAATACTTTGTGAAACAATGTAGCACTATAACCAATTACAATTCATATTCACCATTGAATTTTAAAGACGTGGGGTGCACTCCGCATGATTACAACAATACCAGAATAGTAGAAAACTACACAGAATGCTGTGGAAACATGACATACGAGTGTGACAAGGGATACTATCTACACAGTGGAAATTTACAACGAACTTGCTTCCCGAACAGAACGTGGTCAGGGGACCCCCCTTATTGTAAACGTAAGATTTTAATAATTTAGAGGAAAAATCTGACAAAATGCACGGTGTGTATTCATAAGGAGGACTTGTCATGTAACAAATTTTGATTTTTTTTTCTGGTGGCAGTAAATGTATGCAAACTTTACATAATTGAAAATTTTGTATTTACTGCCACACATAGTTAATTCAAAAGATACTGTATCATGTACTGTTCATTTTGCGTTGTCTACGGAGCAGAATAATATATCTATCTGTGACACATGCATATTGCCACTCGCAATAAATATCACAGGCAAGTGGTGACGTCTCAAAATGAGTGTTAAAGTCTTGAAAGTCCCTTAAACTAACAAACTACCAATCAAAACATTATATGTATACTGTTCTAAAGGTAGTGCAATTTATATGACAATACGTGATCGTCTTTATTTATTATTTTTCTTGCTACTTGAATCGACAGATCAATATATGTTAAAATTATTCTATTGAAAAAAAACTTTGGAGGGATGACAGTGACATAGCAAAAGTATTTTTTAGCTAAAATCAACTGTAGCAATTGCACTGCAGATTTTGAGAAGAATCGTTTCGTGTATTATCAAAAATGTAAGAAATTAACGTTGCGTCCCTAAGAATGTCATGTCCACAAATTTCATCTACGGTCCCTTATGTTATTCAATACTAAAATACACATATTGGAGGAAATGTCACTGTCGTCTGTTCTGATAACTTTCGTCAATCTTCCGGTCAACTGACCAGAAAGTGTTCGCTTGATAGAATGTCGGATGGCGAGGAACCTGTTTGCTTACGTCTTGTAAAACAATGTAGACACACGTCATTTGATCATTTAGAGTGATGTTATGTTCCTAAATTATTAGCGTTTTATTTGATTGATCATTAGTAATCAGATGATGTCGGAATAATTATTTAAACACTTAAACAGGCTGCAAGTGTTTGATTGACCAGAATCTCACCACTCCAAAAGATTTGACCAAAAGAATTGAACAATTAACAAAGGAGCTAAAGGTCCATTATAATTCAACGAATGCTTTTCATAGAAGGAAAACATGTGCTCCCGACAAGAGACATTCCTCCATCTGTCTTGGGTGGCTTTTCGGTTACTTTGTTATTGTCTCTATGACAATAACTTTAGTTATTACAGATTTGAAGCGACTATACAGGCATATTTGCTTTGGGGAAGACTGAAACATTCGAAAGGTATTGAATTACGATTGTGAGCATTGTTGTTATTATTATTTTGCTGCTTTTTGTGATTTTTTGAATTAACATCATTTATTTGGATATTTTAATTTTAGGTTTTAATATATATATCTGTTGTGAATGGAAAAAAAAGTATATATATATATATATATATATATATATATATATATATATATATATATATATATATATATATATATATATATATATATGTACAGGAATAAAACCTAGCATAGTCTTGTATTTAGTCTTTTAATTAGTATTTGTATTTAATATTTAGTTATATAGTGCCGTTATTCCATCTACTATTGTTAAAAAATCAAATGCATATATATATATATATATATATATATATATATATATATATATATATATATATATATATATATATATATATATATATATATATATATATATGAAGTTTAAAACGATGTTCCCTTTGTCATTATTTTAAGACATTCTTTCGCAAGGTTGGTATTTTAACAGTTCTATCTGATCTGGATACTTATAGTATTGTTTAAAGTAAAGTTTAGCAATAAAAGTTTGAACATTAGACTATTGTTTGTCTCTATATCAATTGCCATAATATCATTTTTATATGGTAACATGAGGAGCTCTCGTGTGAGATCACAGTCTACATTTGTAGTTGTCTCGTGCGACTTGACGTTTGAAGTCATATGAGGTGTATTTTTGAAGCTACAACTGCGCTCGCCCCAACGGTCACACCGTAAAACATACCGGTATTACTATTATTTATCCAGGTCCAATCAAGGGAGTACGGGGATTTACCCCGGGTTTTATTCCATACACCCTTCGGCCTCAGAGTGTATGAAATATGAATCGGGGTAAATCCCATGACTCCAGAACCATTACAAAGCATAGGGTAATATTTAAATAGTTCTTGTCAATTACTTAGGGTACCCAACATATATAACTGAAAAAAAAAAACAATTCAAAGCCTTATTTCAGTTGAAGTAAACTTGCAAGTATTTACTGTACTGTAGAAAAGTAAGATTTTAAAAAATATTATTACAGTATTATTTGATGAGCTCTTATTTTTTTGGATTATCAAAGAACTGGTTGTGTCTCAATATGAGTGAAAAATTCTCGAAAAGGCACGAGTCATCTCTCTTAGCCCTTTTTAAAACAATCAAAATGTAACTTCACGAAACTTATACTAAGTTTTAAAAGAATTAATATACTTGACAGTAGCTTATAAGTAAAACTATAGAAACAACAAACTGGATAAAAAATTAAAACACCTTGAATAACTCAGAATTTTATTTCAATAAACATTCAAACTGCAAAGTCTGCCATAGATTTTTTTTATACTTCAGACCAGAATGAAACATATGGAAATAACAAACATTATTCTGTGATTGAATATTTTCCATCTCTCTGATTGGCTGAGATCCAACTATCTGTACTCCTCAGATAGCTAAATCATTGTATTAACCTCAAAAAACAGCAATAACTTTATAATATTCAAGATCAAAAGTCCATAAAAAAATACAAATAGGAGCAGAGCAAATACGGACCTCCAATACATCAGAGGTGGGATCAGGTGCCATGAGCATCTTCTGCCGACCGGTCACAACCACCGTGTGCTCCTTGTCATGATCGGGTAATAAGGGGAAAAACCGTCGTCAATTCAGTGTATAAATAATGGACTATCAATAAGTATGAAAAACATCGAACAAAGAACTTGCAAAATGATGACTTTAAACGAGACTGTTGATATCCTCGTTTCATCGACGTGTTTGTCAAGGCAGCAACTGACATCTATCCCTATGCCAATTTCGACAATGCCCTTTCCTAACGAAGGACAAATTAAAACACACACACACACGCATTACTCCTCTCCAACTCCGTTGCGAGGGGGGATAATAAGTCTACTGACACGTAACTTGATGCCACAAGGATTTTTACAACCCTTGTGAGCCAGTGTCTTGTAAATTTCATGGTCGATATAATAATCTATCACTTTTTTGGCGCATGACGATTTGAGCACTCAGCAGACGAAGCTTACTCCTCTTAGCCACCCGACTCCACCTCAGGTGTTTCAAAAATTCAAGTATGTGTTTTTACCCAGTTCACGATAGGCTTGCAGCTATAGAGCTTAAAGAGAGAACTATCATAGGCCATCCTTCGCTTGTTATTCAATCCATGTTCATTGTATACACTTTCATGTATATCATTATTAAGATACCTTTTTTAAAAATTTAAAGATAAAACTGTTAATCCCACGCCATTTGATGATAATGGATATTTGACAGATTTAAAGTTGTGTTCGTGTTTTAAGTTATTTACAATATAGATGGTAATCTTCGGTTATTTTCACGATTGTCATTTAGGTGCTCTTTTTATCTGGTAAAGGGTCCGGTGATTTATGAGAGAGTATTATTTTCTCTTTTTTTAGTTTCCTTTCAGCAGCCACTCGGTTCTTTTTCTTCGCTTCCATAAATACAACCACGGCCAGAACGACCAGAACAAACTAAAATATTGGACAACATATGTCAGAATAATGCAGACAAAGTGACATTTGCAGACATGTTTGATGGAATCTGAAAATTCGGAACTTATTAAACTATAGATTATTTACCTGAATAGCAAATCCAATACAGTAAGCAAATGCAACGAAATCTTGACTTCCAAATGAAGTGTCCCAAACAATGTCAAAGCAGCCCTGTTTGTAAAAATGCACAGCATTACATGTTTTAAACGCGTTTACAAAAGGACTTCTTAAGAAACTGAAACAATCTTTAGAAATTACCGTTATAGCCGTATTTCCTGCTGAAGTTTGTGTTGCGCATGTCAGATTGTCAGATTTAGGTAAAGGATCACAGCACACAATCGGTGTTGCTAACGTGTATTCTGAAGTTGATGTGCTAACTTTGTTTGTCCAGTTTGAACGCTTGAAATCTTTGTAATCAATCAATCCACAACATTTATACTGCAAATTGAATTGTTTTGCAAAATACCCATTTTCCACTGTGATTATGTGTTAAGGATTTGTATGTAAAAATTAAATATGAATTATGAATAGGAAAAACAGACTTGATTTTCAATCTTCGGACAATAATGGTTAGTTTACCTTAATCATAACAAAATTCCATCCTAAGGTCTGAACATTTTCCCCCGTCAATCCCGTGTAGTCATTCAATGTTAACAAGACTATCTCTTTGATTGAGTCGATCACCTTCAAAAATTGATTCGAGGTTTATCAAATTTTATAAAATAAGCATCTGGTAATACATAAAATAACCGAACACTTAGTATGACTGTACTTTTCTAATATAATAAATCAAAATGATTCACTTTCAATGACACTTCATTCAGTGATAAAATGGAAATTTTGACCTTTTTAGTACTAATTTTAAAGGAAAGTCATATCAAATGAAAATAAGAAGCAATTATTGCACAATTTAAAGAAAATGTCTTTCATTCAAATGAATGTAAAATTAATCGTGTTTATTTTTTAAAACTATTTTTCATCAGCAATACCAATTTTTCATCGCTGTAGACGATTATGACCATTAAAAGTTCAACAACAAGCAGGAAACTGGTCAGGACAATGTACTGAAATGTAAACAATGCTATGCTTAGATTTAATTTACTACCTTTTTACAAAGTTTTGAATTACTTAAATGAGAATGTACATGGTTACAATGTACCCGTATTTCGCAATTTCTACAAACTTGCATCAAAGTATGAATCAATGGTACATTTATCCTTCGATATTTTTTTTTAATCCTGCCTCGCCTTTTCTATATACTAGTACATTTAATTGCGAGACATGTACATATTGTAATTAGTGAGGCTTACTGTAATAAGTAAGACAAGGTATTACTTTTGGGACAAAATCATACCAGTGGGACAAACTGTCATTAGAGAGACATACTCATACTACCTATCTACGATCTATAGTACATTGTAACGTACATTGGGACGTACATTATACTGTGAGCAAAGAGACACATTGTAACTTGAGACCTACTGTGAGTTGTAAGAACACTGTAACTTATGAGACACATAAATCGTAACTTGTAAGATATACTTTGAGTTGTAAGACACATTGTAACTTTTGAGACACACTGTGATTATGATTGGACATACTGTGATTAATGAGCACTTTGCTTTGCAGCACCCTCCACAACATCCAAACATAGCCACGATCAGAATCACTCCACAGGAAACCGTTAACATCAATCCAATGTCGTAAAAGGCGCCGGAAAGCGACAAACCAGAGTACTGGTTCTCCGTCCCAAGGCCTGTTGCCACTAGGGTGTCCTTAAGCTCCTTCATCACAGAACTGCTGTCAATCAGTTGGTCAATCACACCCACATCTGGCAGAATAATCATAACCACGCCCACTCCCATAAACACCAAGCATGTCGTCTGAAACGAAGAAGATTGATTGATTGATTGTATATTGTTTAACGTCCCTCTCGAGAATTTTTCACTCACATGGAGAAGCCACCATTTGCCGATGGAGAGCCGCAAATTTCGTCCAATACTCGGCACTGAGGGCCATTGAGCACGGAGAGATCTTTTTCGTGCCAGCACCTACTGCGACAATTTAAGGGACCTCGATTTATACGGTCTCATCCGAAGGATAGGTCTCCACGTCCCACAGTGGGATTCGAACCCGCGGAAACGAAGAAGAGATCAAATGAGTAAAATTATTGTTCCTATTTGGGAATTTTCTCTATTAATTTACATGAAAAGATGTTCAAATGCCAAACATCTTTCATCTTTCTTGTGTCAATTGTGTCCCAAATAAAGATCCAGTTCAGTTCTAGTGTTCAGAATATGGTAATGGTATTAATGCAAAATTGTTCGATAAATATCCTTGATGCTATTAGAATATTTCTAATGTCTTCTTCTTTCCTTATCCAGTCGATTGCTTTGACTCGTCCTGAGTCAAGAAATATTACATTTACTATTAAAAACCATGTAGACAGCTTATAAAGGCAATGTCGATTGTCCAATGCTTTAATGTTTATTATATGATTTCATATCGTATTTTGTTAAAATTAAAATATTTAAATTAGCTGTGTTTTTCTACTAAGCCAACCGTGAAATTGATTTGAAACCATTTTAGTGTAAACTCACGCGTAGAAATATACACGATGGACCTTCAGAAACGTTAATTAAAATGTGACGGTAAAAATCACCGGGAAATTCAAACATTGAATATATTTATTGGTGCCTTAAAACTTGTAAAATGTAAATATAAGGAATGTTTTTAAGTTTAGAGTGAATTATTCGTGTGTAAATCACACAGTCTTGCATGTAGCCATATACAGTTTTATTTCTTGAAGCGCTAACGCAAATCTGTGTGATTTACACACCAATAACTCACACAAGGATTTCAAAAATCCCTTATTTCTTGCATAGAAATGAGATTTAAAAGCATGTGAAAATGCCTAGCAGGCCCTACTCAGCTTATCTACATTGTAACCCCCTAATCAGAAATGCTGAAATATTCATAGTCTTTTGGTGAAATATATGGTGATAATGAACAGTATTTAACCTAAAAAAATTCTTTAAATAATACAAATCCTTTGGAGCAGAGCAATCACGGACCTCCAAAACATCAGAGGTTGGATCAGGTGCCATGGAGGAGTGAGCATCTCCTGCTGACCGGTCACACCCGCCGTGTGCTCCTTGTCATGATCAGGAAATAACGGAAAAATCCGTCGTCAATTCAGTGTGTAAATAATGCCCTAACAATAAGACTATGAAAAAACGTCAGTCAGCATTTAACTCAATGATAAATTGTATTTGCCGTCATTGCATCGACCATAGAACTTACGAAATGGTGACGTTAAACGAGACTGCTGATGTTCTTGTTTCATTAATTAGTTTTTCAATAACTTAAACTCGCTTTAGGAATTGTTCATACGTTCAGCATGCTCTTGCGTATCGAATCATCTGAGAGATATAAACCCCGTATGCAGGTGTTGAAGGTTTATTGCTGCATATGTAAGGGAGGTTGACGATTGAAACGTTAAGGTCATCGTGTTTATCATAAATCTTGTTTGTTAGATCCATTAATGTCTTTTCCAAGTAAAATATCCAAATATGAAAGAGATATCTGTGATATCTTTTCTTTCAAGCTCACCAGGATACATAGTATCAACATAAGAATTGAAATAATCATTGCATATCAAATAATATATTCATGCATATCAAATCACATATACGTTCTTTTGTATACACATGTATGTATTTAAAAAAACTACTTACGATAACTGTACCGTTTATAAGAGTAAGGAATAAACGTGTAAAACACGATAAATATCCCATCTTCAATGACCTGAAAGCACAAACATATAACTTAGTCGGTATTCTTCGAAATTATTACTTTTACTTGAACATGCTTTTCCATTAAGAAAGTTTCATCAACAAGATACACTTTAAAGGCTTGAGTAAAATCTCAAAAATATACACTTTAAAAAAATATTTTTATGTATTAACCGTAAAAGAAACTACTTATATGTTTATAATAAACACAAACCTGGGTTTTGTGTTCAGTCTGGTATCTTGAGCTTTTTTCAACAGCATATAAAACGATTGGGAAGAGCGCCAAGTTCAGATGGGTCATTCCTAAAGACAAGACAGAGTTTCTTTCAATTTGGACTTTTTAGAATTAAAAATAAATTTCAATTTCGACTACTCTAAAATATTTTAAGTATAAATTTAAAATTTTGGGGGCATAATTAATCAATTTCAGCAAAATACTGATGGCGAATCAATTCGTCTAATCATTACATGCAAAATGTATCGTTAAAATTGTAATATCAGGTATCCTTATTTATGCTCAAACAAATAAAAGAACCTGCTTAAACACAAAGAAATTCTACCTTATGCAAAATGAATTTAAATGGATTGACAATGGTATCTCTGATTTCAATGTTTAGATGGTCAGATGATATGAACTTTAACCAGAAGTCGTCAGTAGAAAACATGTCTTGTCCTTATACCCGTTTGTTTGTTGTTTTTACCAACACTGTATATAATGTGGTAGGATTTTGTTCTAGTAAAAATAACTAACAAAAAATTGAAACTTTACAAGCTTCCTACATTCACAAAATTTAATCAAACTAGTATCAGAACTTTTTTCTGCTTAAAACTGTACAAAAAGGCATCGCTCTTATATTTCCGAAGTGTTCTTTATGTGAAAAGTCTATTCTTTAGGTAACAAAATTTTCCACTCTTTTCTCTTACCCTTGAAGTTTGACCAACTTTTTAAAACCATTAACCTTTGTCATAACTTGTGATAAGCTTTAATATTCCTTGTGACAAAATATTCCTTTCGGGTACTATTATTTTTTTGTCCTCCTGATGTTGCCTTTGGAGTTTTAATGTCATTAGTTAATAATTTTACCTTACTTACTTACTTACTTACTCGTGCTGGTCAGCGTATAAGGCCGTCACCAGAGACTTCCATGTTGGCCTGTCTTATGTCCATACTTAGACCTGTACCCATATCCAGTTGTTGCTTTTTTTATTTCTTTTTCTACAGATCTCCATGTCTCTTTTGGTCCTCCTCTCTTTCGCTTGCCCCTTGGTGTCCATCTCAATGCAACCTTTGGGATATAGGTTGGGAGCATTCTGCATATATGTCCTATCCAGCTCAGATATGCCAAAATGCTTTAAAGTAAACTTTTTTCTAACTGATTCACAAAAATCAAGATAAATCAGATGAGCTTACAAATTGTATAATGATGATGTATGGTTAATGTTGTTAATCAGTTAATGGCAATTGTAACAAAAGGAATAATTTCATCTTGCTATCATACTTACACATACATGTATTTAGATAGACAAATTCATTGTTCAGAATAATATTGAATAAATTCCTTTTGTCCTCCACATATAATAGTAAAATAAAGGGCGTTTGCTAACAGCATGACAATGAATACATTTTTCATCCAATTAAAAAGATATTATTTCATTAAACCACAGCTTCTCGATCAGTACCACAAAAGATATTTCAAACATAGGTAGAGAATAAAAACATGTATGATTATAGTGTTTTTGTGAAGTAAAAAATGGAACATACTAGTAGGTTTCTGTAATGGACAATTCAGAAAAATCTATATTTGTTACCAACCGATGCTCCCGTACCCACGGTATTGTTGAGGCATTTACTTCAACCTGCATATCCAAATCTACATACATTGCAAGAGAAAACACTTTACACTTTCTTTTCTGTTAAGACTTATTTTGAGGTCCTATTATTCATACGAAAATAGAACCTAAAAGCAACCTGGAATATGTCAAATGCTATGCGGATGTCTAGATTTAGAACTGGTATTGCATTCCCTGAGGCTGAGGTCGCAGTAAACACCTATCATTTTACAGATATTAAATCAGTCGCAAGCAAAGCAAAGTTCCGAGAGCATCGAAATGATCGATAACAGCACTAATTCATAAATGCGAAATTTTAATATTTTACATCATTATTTATGGAGGATAGATAATGAAATGGTATTATTTGTGGTTGATACCTTAACTGAAGGTTATCTGTTTTGTTGATTTCTAAAACAAAATTTATTGAGACTGTAGATCGTGGGCTTTACTCATGTATACCAGTTTTATTTCGGATTTATTTATCGTCTGTTTTAAGCGGACATTCATGACTTATTGAAGACATTTACCTCTCCTCCTTGTCAAAAAAGGGAGACTTTATAATAAAATTATGGTTGTTTGATAAAATGTTTACTATGTTTAATTCATGCGTGTTATTATTGCGTCGTGGTTGCTAATTTGTGAGCATAATCTAAACCTGTATAAATTTTACTTAATTAATTAAACTTTAAAAAGTTAAAATGTATATGACAATAAGCAGACGTATATAAAAGCATGTGATCTCTTTATTTAATACATCCAGGCAATGCAAGTAATACTAAAATATGAAATAAAACAAAAATGCATTAGTTTAAAATGAATTTTATAAATGAATTTTATACTTAATCATTAGTGAATATCAAAATGGTTTTTCAAAAAAGATTAAGAAATTTCTCTTGTTGTCTTGGAAAGCACTGCATTTCATTTCAGTATCAATGTTGTGGCGTTTATGGATATGATAATTTAAAAGGAGCAAAGTATTGGAAGTCTAGTATTGTCGCCAAAGGAGATCTATACACCGATTGTGTGTTGTGATCAACTTCCTACTTCCGGAAATTTAACATGCGCAGAATATAGCATAGGAATATAAAAAAAACCCTAATGAGAGATAAAGAAACCAAATTATTCCATATTTGATGTCATTATATCCAATTTATATACAATTAAAAATATTTAACTTTAACAGCCATGCTTGATGACTTGTGGAACGTGTCTTTGGGAAGCCCCTCGATAACTGTTTTGGCCCTTGGAATGGGGTTGTTTTCACAAGTGAAATTTTTACAAATTTTATGCAAATTTGCAGTGATCAATGAAATAGAAGTATTTTTTAAAGTTTTTATCTTTTTTCATTCATATAATAAAACTCAAAAGTAGTATTTGTTTTCTTTTAAGACCAAATTTTGCACCAGAGAATGCAATACAAGCAATTATTTTTCAGCTTTCCCTCATTTTCGCTGCGTTTATTTTATCGAACAAAGACAAGAAAGAAAGAGTTGAACCACAACTTGACAAGTGGAACCAGAAGTGACAAATTGACTGATTACGAGTGATTAATAGAGCATCATATTATAAAAATGAATTTTATTATAATCTTATTTAGTTAGTAGTAATGTTAGTCTCTTGATTAATATCAACATTACTTGTTTAACTCATTATACTTCAAACAATTTTGTTGATAAAATACAACTTTTATTATTTCAATATTACTAAATTGTTGCTTGTATACACAAAAATAGTCTAAAATTTGATGAAATCTGCATGCGTATTCCCCAAAATTCAAATCATTATTTTATAATAGTCAAGACTTATGATATGGTATAATCAAAGGTAGTACATGTACACAGTACACTTCTAGAAATACAATATGTAACTTCCATTGTCACTTAAGCTTTTAAGAATTATCATGAAATTTCTTGACAAACTTTGGTTAAGTAGATTTAATTTATTTTACATCTTCATTTTATTACTCCTAAATGAAGGATATGGAGATATCGAACAGTATTCAATATCAAAGTCAATAACAGTACAAAATAGGAGCAGAGCAAACATGGACCTCTAAAACATCAAAGGTTGGATCAGGTGCCATGGAGGAGTGAGCATTCAGTGCTAACGGTCACACCCGCCGTGTGCTCTTTGACATCATGGGGAAATTACAGAAAAATCCGTCGTCAATTCGGTGTATAAATAATGGACGAACAATTAGAATGAAAAAAGTCAGCATTTGACTGAATGATAAATTGTATTTGCTGACAAGGTCATTGTATCGACCAAAGAGCGTACGAAATGATGACTTTAAACAAGACTGCTGATATTCTTGTTTCATCAACTTGTTTGTCTATATTTTACCTCGTTTTAGAAATTGCTCATACGTAGAGCATGTTCTTGCATATCGAATCAACTGAGATTTATAAACGCCATATGCAGGTGATGAAGGTATATTGCTGCATAAGTAAGGGAAGTTGACGATAGAAAAGTTAAAGTCATCACGTTTTTCACAAAACTTGGTTGTTAGATTACCATTAACGTCTTTTTCAAGTAAAATATCCAAGTATGCTTTTTCCGAGTGCCAGATGTCCCCGCTTTTCTCTGCTCTATTTTTTGCGGAATTAAAATACATTAATTTTGTGTTTCATGTATTTAATCAGTAATCATAATTTGATACAATTAAAAAATATTATTAAAAAAATAAGTTATGATGAAGGATAAAGTTAGAAAATCTATCAAATTTTGTTATACTGACAAATCATGAAATCACGATAAAAACTCCTGTATTCAGTACTTATGAAATAGAAATGCTGCATGAAATCATTAAATAATCTTTTTTGAGTCATGCATAAAAATGATATTTTTAAAGCTCTAATAATGGTTTTGACGTCGACTTGCATACGCCCTTTGTTTCCTAACGGAATATTATTGCAATCGTAAAACGATAATACTGTATACAGGTATGCAGTAAGTATGCTTGTTTTTCAATGCAGTTGTGTAAGGCGTACAGTGAGTTTCTATCTTTTATTATTTACGTTAATAATTTACTGATTTTTCATACTATATTCGAAAAAAGATAACTCCCAAATCAAAATATTTGTTAAATATTCACAGCTTCCCTTCTTCATACTAGTACATGTATTTATCTCCGATGGCCTTTTTACCATTTCATCCAAGAAAAAATAGAATCTAGATTTCTAAAAATATAACCCCAAAAACCAAAACAACAAATGAAAATAAAATCACCTCACAAAATTATTAGTCCCTATACTATAAGACCTGAATCATGCTGCATCTTTGCAGATCAGAATCATTAAAGAAGTGACATAAATCTTTGACTGTTGAGTTCTACAAGATATTGTATATTCATACATACACCTTGAGTTCACAGATAGTATTACACTCCCCTTACTAAATATGCAGCAGTACCCCCTCATCACCTGCAAACATGTACAGGGTTTATATCTCTCATCTCTCAGTTGATTCGATTCGCAAGAACATGCTCTACGTATGAGCAATATCAAAAACGAGGTTAGTTATTGACAAACACGTTGATGCA